GTCGACTGTCTGCATTTATGTGAACGCTGTCTCCGGTGTCAACTCGAATACAACATCGACAGGTCGCTCTCCCTCGAGAGTTATCTACCTGTTCACATGTTTTTGTACGAGTAGATTCGGTACGCAAACCTTGGCAACAACCTTACGAAGGCCCTTTTCACGTGATCGCTCGTCACGAAAAGACCTTCAAGGTTGATCGATATGGACGCGTCGAGATCGTCAGCGTCGATCGTCTCAAACCAGCACACGTCGATGACAGTGCCCTATCTGGTAACCTGAGATTCAAGGCTAGACCTATTAAACCTAGCGGGATCCTTAAATCTTCTTCAGGTCCCACGCTAGATACATCTGAGACCTCATTCTCACGTCCCGGTCAACAGCACGCGTCATCTGCACCGTCTACGGACGAGACGATTGTCTCACGTCCAGATCAGCAGACCACGGCGCCTCTGACCTCGGATGAGATTGCAGGCTCACGCGACGCGAACGAGACTGCCGTCTCACGTTCCGGTCTCCGAGTACGGTTACCCGTACGCTTCCGCGACTAATCGCACAGTCAATAACCGATACGGTGTAGGATTATTCCTATACTACACGCATGCTACCTTCTTCTTTTTTGATTTTCTTTTTGTTTCCTGAGCCCACGCCTTCGACCATCTCCGTTTGGTTCCGTCGACTTCAGTCAACTTTGGCGAAAGCTGGATTGGCCACCCATGCTTTTGTCAACACACTCAGTCGATAAATTGGTTTTGAATGCTTGGCATACGCTTGGTCTCGAACTTGGTCGTTATGGTCGTTTCTGGTCTTTTGGCTCAACGTGATTTCGTCCTTCGTCTGCAGCGATTCTGGTCCGCATTCCCTACGAACGCCATCTTCAGATTCTGGATACAAACCACTCTCGTGTAGCATGCCAACTCGAGCAACAAATATAGCACATCGCTCCTGGTACCGTTCTCCGAAAACGACCTTCGTTGGCAACTCGACGATCAACGATCGCTTTCCTGTTCGCCAATTCTTCCGTCCTACAATCGCTCGTTAGCCGATCAGTCCCACGATTTAAACCACTATTTATCGAAAGTGTTAACCTTTTCTAGCGAGGGGCTCCTGCAGTGACTCACATTTATCACGAGAACACGACTGGTTTAATAAAAACAATTATTATTATAACCAACTGTACCAGTGTTTGTTTTAACGTGCTTTTGTTTGACTGTGCTAATGACAGCTATTTTGTGCTTCCATTCTTATACTTACACTTTGATTGTATCTTCGCGCGAACTCGGTTACGTTCTGTAACCAAGCTTGTATCCTGGCACGATCTCGGTATCCTTTCGATGCCACGAGATCGCCAGCTAATAAACCTCGACCTGGTCCATTAACTGTCTTCTGATATTTGGCTTCTCGGGGATTTTATGGAGTCATTTGGAACGAGCTTCTTACGCCTTCTGATCTATTTGGCACGTGTATCTTGGTAGCGGTGTTCATAGTTAATCTCAACTCGACGCCACGCTACAATTGGTAATCCCAATTCGAATACAAATCCATAGAATTAATGAGTCTAAAATACTTCTTCGACTCCTCACTCATTCTGCAGTACAATAGCGAAAGGGAGCTTTAATATGTATCAGATAAAATTCTTAAACTTATAAAAACTGAACTACAAACAGTCATGCCAGCTACTCGAGAGAAGTGTATCAAGATTGTATAACGTACACTAATGCTAGTGACACAGTGGATATTTTTCTGACCAGTCATTTATTGGAATCTGAGAGTAATCTGCGGATGTAGTCAGATAAACCATATTTAGAGCTTATTTCAGTCAAGAGTATCCTAAAGAAGTCTAGCAAAAGAAACATCATGGTGCTAGTTATGCCAGAATACACGGACTTAGAGTATGAAGTCTATGATATCCAAAGGTGGAGGTTTAATAAGGCAGCTTCTGAAGCTCAAAGATATATTTTCTCAATAAGTAGTAAAACTGTTCAAGAAGAACGGGGGTACTCGAATCAGACTAATAAAGATAATCTTCACCCCTTCCAGAAAGGTCTGAAAATTCAGTTTTAATTCAATGTGATATTTACACAGTATGGCATTTGTTTTCTTTCCAAAGCACGACATCTTATTCTGTATAACATACGATATTCTTATCTTAAATTAACATGAACTATACTCAGCATATAATTTGTTACAACTAAGCATTTTTCATATATGTGATTATTCTAATTATTAGTCGAACATGGGTGTATGAATCAATATACAAATGAGTGTATTTCCGATTAGACTCGTCGTGGTTATTCGTACTTCTGGGTGCCTGTGGAATATATTTCCCTCTTCCGAACTTGGATTTATCTCTCTAGTTAGCGGAGGTGGGACTCGTCTGAGTGGCTAGCTTATCTGTTGTTGTGTCACAGGGTCTTCGACGCGTTATCAGACTAGGTGAACTCTTAATCTCTTTAAACACCGCAGTGATATACTAGAACCCATATGAATCCCGACGGGCTACACCATGTCGACTGTCAAGGGTAAAACTGCATGGAAAGGCCTTGGGTCAACCATTCCGAAAACCCTGTCTAGGTAGGTTCCTGATCCACTCATAAATGGTCACTGGGAAAACAGATCAAGGACACGCACGCGTTTAAGATCGAAAGCATCAAATGTTTATATATTGGCTCTTCCAATTTATGGAACAAAGTGGATGAGTTTTATGAACTATGTATTGTAAATAATACTCTTTTGATAATAACATCCTGAAAATGGTAACCTCAAATCATGGACAAAGCACTAATATTAGTTGGAAGGTCTTCGTTTCACAATATCAAAGGGAAAGTGGAATGGGACGTAGTGTTGTGCAGTACATACTTTACTGCATTGTGGCACATTTAAACAGTAAAACCATAACGTACGACCCACAATGACAAGGGCGTCAGTTGTAGCTCAGTATGTGTCTCAGTGATGATCATAAGCACGCGACCGGTGTTTCAGAAACTTCAGCGACTAAACAAGGATACATCTTTTGGCCCGGACATAGTTCACTCGTTCATGCTAAAAGATACGTCTTCAAACTTAGCAACACTTTATAGAGCAATGCTTTCACATTCGCCGAGCCAGGGAGTGATTTCGGATCATTAGGAGCCAACAATCATTGAAATAATTGTAAAAGGAGCCAACACTATGAACCTTCAAACTAACATCAGATGGTGTTCCTTACAATACTCTCATGGGTTATGGAATCCCTGTTACGTGCTGACAGATGTTACTACCAATTATCTGCATGTTTCTCGCCACCCAGCATGGTTTCAGGAAGTGTTATTCCTGCATTGCCAGTCTTATAGCTAAGGTAGACAGATGGGACACCGTTTTCGACTGCAAGGGGAAGATGGATGTGTTATACATCAATTTCTCAGACGTTTTTGATATGTTCTATCATAAATGTCTTATCGATAAGCTCAAGCTGATAGGAATCAAATAACCACTGATAAACTGACCTAAGTTAAACTTAGGTAGTCAACGTTTTAAGGTTCGTATAAACTGCATATTGTTTCAGTCTACGGAATATCTCGCCGGAGTCCCCCAGTGTTCAGTGCTAGGACCTCTTCTCTTATTTGCTTAAACAAATAGTTTTTTCTTAGCAAGTATTCGCCGGGTTATTACTTCTGATCGATGAAGTCAAACCTCGGAAGGAAGTTTGCAACCGGGACGTTGAGTTAGGACTTCAGGAGGACCTAACTGAACTTCAAAGCTAGGCGAATCGCAACTGACCTACTTTCAATACTACATTGTAAAGTGGTTCATGTGAGGCATGTTATGAAGTACAAATACGGCTTTGTTAAGTCCTCTGTAGAAGCACCTCGAGCTAAAAAACATCATAGAGTTTTGACACCCTGAAATTCAAAGTCTTCTGCTAACTGTGATAGAAAGCCTCTAGAACCAACCTCAGACTGACAACTATGAAGCTTATTTTCGTCCATTTTCACAATGAAACTTTCCATCTGATATTATTTTCCCCTTCGCTTCATAAGAACAAGGATACTCTGGCACATACCTAAAGGCGATGCCTGAAATTTTCTGCCGACCGAAGCAGTTCGAGCAACTCCATTGTAGTCCTTCAAGAAGGAACTTGACATATTCTTGAGGACTTTGGATATCATTTCACCATAGCTTGCTAATATTTCTCTTTACTTTACCAAGCAAATCTAGGTTCCAAACTAGAGGGAAGGTTGTCATCTGAAACTAGATGCAGAAGTTCACCAAGCCAGAGCTTCTTCTCTTCCTTCCACAACCATTTGAACCATCTGAACCACTTGAACCACGTACGTACCCACGGCTTGCTGTCCCTCGAATACCTGTAATAGGTGCATTTTTTGTACATTTCCATTACCACTACCATCATTCTTATTATTGCCGGCCTAGCTCTGCTCACCCCACCATTTGTAACCTACGACTGTCTGTTATTCTTAGATTTCTTTCTGTTCACATTGCTTGCATAAACTGTCCATACATCACTCCAGACAGTTATTTTCCCCTTCCTCCTCGATATTCTGGATTCATCACCTTTTACTGTGCAGTGTTTGCAACTAACTAATCTCCCGTTTGACAATATGATAGCTGTTGATCCTAGCGATCCTACAGCCCCAGAACAAACACATTTATTTATACTCAAGGAATATGAACTTCCAAATAACAACAGAATTCGCAGGAGCTAGTGAAATCGAATGTCGAGACTGCCCATATTCGAAGTTAATTAGGATCATGCACAGTACCATATCATTTATTTATTCCTCGAAGCAATCGTCTTCTTCTGGCGTATAAACTTTGATTTTATTAGTCTTCAGATTGTAATTAACCAATCTCCTGCCTGGTAATATGATAGCTTCTGGTGACCAGAAACTCAGTACTTTGAAACAAACGCACTTGAATTATGAGATGGATGGGCCTACAAATAACTGCTAAACCGACTAGAATTAGTCCAATCGAGTGGTTAGACTACCCTACCCATTGGACATTTTCAAGCACCTAGCAATGTGCAGACAAGAAACAAGCGCGTGACAAAGATATTGGATATTGGAAATGGGTCGTTTGTATGGTACGTTGCATCTTGCAAATTTAGTGCACTATCCTCCTTCACTGTATTTGAGGTTCATTAATTCTTTGGTCAATCCTAATTTAGGCTCAGTAATATCTTGCACTGGGTATTGTTTTTTCAGCTTAGTGAAGTAGCAGTGGTTTTTATTAATCGTGATTTGTAAAACTTCAGATCTTGTCTATAGTATCCATTCCAGTTGGCGACAGTTGGCCTAAATTATATGGACGACTTTGGTCAATTCATAAATATCTTTGCAAGCTCACTACCACTCGTCTGGTTCAAAACCAGGTTAGGGATTATGATTAATAGTTAGCTAATCCCAGGGTCTGGTTGACACTGGTAATGGTTTCCAAAGCTAAGGTGACACTAAATAAGCTATTTGTTAGCGAAAAGTGTTGGTCTACCTAGTTGTTCCCTTATATTCACATCTGTTGACGTTTAAGTTGCACAGGTTATGAATTCCCAGTTTATGGAAAGATCACTTACGACAATATCGAATCTGCTATCTTTCCTACTGATTTTCTAGTCATGCTCTGAGAACTTATAAACAAAATGAAGTTTAGACTTGTGACTCATCATTAACCGATACTTCATGCCATTTTAGTAAAGGTCACTATCCGTCTTTATTATTACACTAAATTATGCTATCCCAAACAACCGAAAGGGGAAATAAAGCGGACGAAGGCGTAAATAAAGGGGAAATGTCGCTTTTTCGCCTTCACGTTGGTTATTTAGGGGAAATGTCACTTTCCCCCTCTTACGTCGTGTATTCCCAGGCTCCCAACTTTGGGGAAAATTGAGTCCATTTTGGGGAAGCCGCTATAATAAATTTTGGGGAAAATTTGTCGACATCTAGACGTTACGTAAAGTGTTTGAATAAACCGCATTCAGAACTTAAGTTTTCATACACGTCGACAAATTAAGACACCGCTTAATAAAAAAACAGTACTATTGTCATAAAAACAAGGTACAAAATACTGAACCAGGCATAGCCAACTGCCTATGATTTTCATGACTTTTCATCTTCGTTTCCCCTCGTATCATTCACCTTTAAGGATTTAAATTAAATCCATAAAATATTACTTAGACATATGGAGTTTTGACTGAATACGAGTATGAACGGATCTATTAAAAATAACCGACTTCTGAAACACCAGAAATAGATAGAAACAGCATCAATTTCAAAAATAGCGAACCCTTTTACTAGTAATATTTTCGGAATTTTCATTAATTCAGAAAAAGGTATACTTCTCAATTCACATTATTTTTTACCATTATTCTCACAATTACCCTGGAGGAATTTTGCGCAGTATATATTATTTTCATGTGACTTATTATCATTAATATTGTGATTACCATTCTTGATACCACTTTAATTAACCCAACGCTATTCTACATTATGTTGACAGGGTTCGTTGCATTATATTGACTATAAATCAGCACCTTTTAGCCGATCTTCTTACCCTTTTTTTAAACGACCTATAAGACTTACAAATGACATTCTAGACATGCTTAAGTCGTGATCGATGTAAAAGTTCACCATTTTAGCGTAGAACATTATTTCATGCAATCACAACTGATACGTACATGTCTTATTTCAATCACCGTAATATAGCATTTATGGATCTATAACTGTACAGTTTGACGAAATTACTGAAAACAACTATTACCTCAAACATTCTTTGTTTTCAATACTCTGTGGGGACTTTTGAACCCATACAAATTGTTAAAGTATGTTTCATTTGTGAATGGACCATGTATCGTTAATTATTCAACAACTGTCAATTTTGATTGGTGTTCTGTGTTTTAATATCCCTCTGAACTATCAATTACGTTGTAACTTATCACTTGCAATTTTTATCATTTTATTTATAGAAGCATGCTTCAGAAACATTCCAATCCACCTCTTGGTTTAGAACGGATTCATCGATATTTTTGTTACGTTTGTGGAACTCTTCTTCCACACAAGTTGGAAGTTCATGATTTATTAGTATGCCGAAAATGTAAAACATCTACGTGTATGCATTGGTTCAGTAATATGGATGCAACTTTCAATACTGAAGCTAAATCTGGCAAAATAAACCAATTTAATGATGATGAGTATGAATCCACATCTTTATTCTTCCCATCAATGATTAGAGGGGCTAAAAAGATCTTAAGATCAGAAATTGCTTTAAAGGAGGCTTTGGAGTCACAATTTGAAAACGGTACATCACAATCAACATTTGATGGACCAACTATTAGAAAAGAATGTGCTTATTGCGGCAATGATAGAATGACTTATGTTACACTTCAAACTCGTTCAGCAGATGAAGGACAAACTGTAATATATACTTGTACCCAATGTTCTAAAAAAGAAATTGAAAATACTTGATTAAGTGTTTTGATTTTACCCATTAGTATTCATATTAGTTTAGTTTTGTCGGCTAAATCTTAAAGTTAGTACTTTTATCATGACCCACTAATACGTTTAAAATACAAAGTTGAACACAAACACCTCTTGCTAAATAATTTATTATCAAACTGTACGAATGTTTTTTTGCGAATGAAAATTTGAGGCTGTATTCCTTGAGGAAATCTAAGTACTGAATAAACACAATGTCATAAAAAAAATAATCGTATTACTGAGCTATTAATTATACGTGATAACAGCACAAGGTTGGGTAACTTCTTCAGGATGTGTAAACAGAAAAGGGGTATCAAACTAAAATTTAATATTAGATTAGGTTATGGATGAATTAAGGTAGTTAAATGTGTCAGAGTGCTTAAATGAAATGATATTGGAAACAATTACAAGCGTGAATCGAGGAGTTGTAAAAACGTTTAAGCAGAAGGATTCATTTACAAACACAAAAAGTATGTGAGAAAACAATAATGATGGTGATAATAGATAAGATAAAGATAGGATACACTTCTCTTGTAAACAATCGATAGCTAAAGCTGGTGTTTTACAGAGTTGACGATGAAATGTGCATAGATTCATATGGATTATGTAAATAACCTCAAAATTAACTTGTGAGTTAGTCGAATGAACGCAGTCAATTAGATGTCCAAGGATAGAACTAGCTGCTTTCATCTCACTGTCGTAAAACTAGGCTGCAATAGGTTCTCGTATATATGTTGAAAGTGAGCTTTGCCTTTGGTCTATATGGTTTGCGTGATAAGAGTAGGTGAACCGGTAGATGGTGGAGAAGATTTGTAGCTCAGGTAGATGATTTTGGTGGAGTTTTGTTCTCTGAGCAAACCATCCAGCTCAGAGAACAAAACTCCACCAAAAAAATGAACCGGTAGATTCACACAGAGGGGGCCCTATCTCTCACAGATACGCAGAGCTTTTTTGTTAATAAGATTTGATTGTAGTTTTACTGAGTAAATTGCTTCATCCCTGCCATCGAGTCGCTCGGTCATTAATTAAAATATTAAGATAAGATGAAATGCAATTAATTATACCAATATATTGGTAGTATAGTTCAGTTGGTTGAAAGTTGATACTTCTGGGGACATTGTATTCTCACTTGATGTTCTTAGTTCACCAGTGTATTTCTAACATAATTTATGTTAAATCTGTAACTAAGTTGAATCACACGTCAAAGATATTGGTTTGCTTACTATTTGGCCACATGGACTGTTATCACGCTGAAATTTGAACTTTCAGTTTATTTATGGTCTAGAAATCTGCAAATAAAAGGTCGAAATAATCTTAGGTGCTTTTTTCACAGATTGCTTCATACCTAAGTTTGAAAACCCCGGCATAATGTAGTCATTAGACGTCTCAACTTCTACGGAAAACATAAAACTATCATATTTATAAATTTCTATGAAGAAGTTGGCTTGATTAACGGTTAGCATCCTTTCAATGCTTGTAAATCACGATAAGGAATTAGATCTACCTATCTCATTTCTCGATGTGCTAACTTATTCACAAATATCTTGTGGAAGTTGCTCAAACTTGTATTGTTATCCCTTACAATAAATTATAATATTAAAGTTTTATTTTTGTTATATAATCTTGTTCACCATAAAATGAAGTCTCAATTTCATGTAAATACGGTTGTACAGCTTGATAACAAGTTATTTGTTTCACTTCGTACTTATCTAATGTACGTATGAGTTTGATAATTCCTCGTAAAATACTCTTTATCACACTTATAATTCCTGTCATTGGGACGCAACCCTAAATAAATTCAAACACGTGTAACCCTTCAGTAAATTAGTATGTAGAGCAGAGTTCGAGTGTTTGTATATTCTTAAGTATTCATACCCAATTTCTAACTAGTAAACTCTTAATTAAAGATATCACTGTGTCCGAGGAACTATGTCAGTCCTGTGATCTGTTATGACGAGTTGAGTATCGGACAAGTTGTAACTTTTGGAACTATCTTTCGGATTATCATTATTTATATTTCTACTGTATAGTTAAATAATAAATACTCGTACCATTGTATTTATATGTTATCACTGTAAGCTTCCAGTTGACCCATTAACTGTCTTTAGATGTTTTACTATCCTTTAATTATTGGTAACTGTTCTCTTCACTCCCTACCACATGCGGCCTAATTGTATTTGAAGTATGATTTATTATTTGGTGTTCTGTACAGTCTAATCTGTGTATATAAGTTAATAGGTGTTTGAGGTAGTTGTTGGCTGAGCTGGGTAATTGAAATATACCTATAGTAGGACCCGGCTGCTAATTTCCCTTCGGACTCAATGTAGAAGACAGAAAAAAATCTTTTGGATAACAAATCAATAAAAGTGTAGCTTGAAGTGGCTCAAGGTTAACTGCGCAGTTCAAAACGTATAGTTAGTCAGCTCTGGGATTTTAGATTCTAATCAGAATAGTGGACTAGAGAGAGAAAAAATATTGTAATCAGGATTTTGACTGGTAATTTTAGCACATGATACCGATTAGTGTCTCAAGTCATGACAAAATTGTTGACAGGAATTTCGAGCAGAGAGAGAGAAAAGAAATAATAGCAATAGATTAAATTTCTAATATTGGGCACCAAGGAATCTTAGTTAATGAAGCAGTAAGAAGGAGAATAATCCTGCATTCAGTAGATAACTTCAATGAATAAAGAGATTTGAAACGATTATTTTGAATTCGCTTCAGTTCTATGAGAATTTAAGAAAAGTTCAGCAGAAGAAAGTGATCTCTATTACCGCAGAGAGGATGCATATATTGTTACAGAAATAAGAGATGTTCATTAAGCATCATTTGAAATTTACAGAAAAGCTCAATTCAAGGTTGATGAAACCTTCAATTTCTTTAATAATGGTGAAAATTGATAAAGAAATTTTTATCAATTTCGTATAAATGTCCCCATAATAAATAGATACATGCGTTAATAGCTGCACAAACCGTTGATGAGCAGTAGTTTAACTGATTTAATAGTCATATCTAATCCTTCCAGTGATTCGGTAGAGGCTGTTTCAGAAACGAATCCTAGAGGGAGTTCAAATCTCGTTATGTCTGAGGTAGAGTGTACAACTACTGAGTTGTCAAGTGCAAAGCAGGAACATCATTTGTAAGTTTTCGTTCAAAACATATATATATATATATATATATATATATATATATAGATTTCTGCTTCTACGCCTTCGGGAGTTATTTATTTAATTAAATACATAAAAACTGGTACAAAAGAGCACCGAATATATACGCAACACACAAGTCACTTGATATAATTTACGGGTGCCCAGACCGTAGCAGGTGATTTCCTTAGGAAGCCACACCCAGAGCCTTCAACCTGAAGTTCTGATCCACAAGACAGTGGAGCAACGTTAGGGGATGCAGTCCAACGGTAGTCAGTCACCAATAATAGGTTCATACGCTATTTGTCCCTTTAGGATCCTAGAGCTCATATGCATCATTGGTTTGGAATCAGGATTTCTTAACTAACTCTTCTATGTTGATCCTCCATATCCACCAAGCCGGTTAAAGTGCCAGATATTCACTTATCGTCCTTTCAATTTCGTAAACGAAACCCTCAACGCGTTAAGGTAATGAGTAGGACTTCCCTGACAGTGACTGTATACGAGTGGTTATATGAAAGCATTTCGAGAAGGAGAGCTGACTCTTCCCACCCTCAACCGTACCAGGGGTATTTGGGTACTGATAGTTCCATACCTAACTGTAACTCATAAACTAAAAATTGATATAATAATTAAAATGTATTTCATAATTTATGAAAACCAAGTAAGAAAAACAAAATTCCTATACAAATTGAATAGAATTAAACAAATCTTTTCCTTTCATAAATAAACAAACATGGATGAATATTGATATGAATCATATTCCAAAAATACCAGCTTGGATAAAACTGTATCCCATGGAAACAATCAATTTGAAGAATTTGTTTGAAAGATGACAATTCCCGACTGATTATTTCTATTGATAGTTCTGATATAAGATGTGTAAAATTTGAAGAGTTTAATACATTAAAATTAGTTTCTAAACCTTCTGTTTTATTGTAACTAAAGAAAAAAAAGGAATAGATTCAATGAATAGAAAAGTGTTATATCCGAGCGAAGATTAAATCACGAGTAACTTCTGAGACATTATGTTTTTGATGGAAATCATGAGTGAATTGAAGCTAGACCATCATGAAAAACCTGAAAGCACTGAATGGCCGTTTCATCCTAGTATGGGACTCCTCGGCAGTGCACATCTACGATCCCACACCCCGCGAGATTCGAACTCAGGACCTATCAGTCTCGCGCCAGGCGCTTAACCAATTAGACCACTGTATATTTATATTCCTTCTATTATAAGCTTCATTTTGACCTATATATTATTATTGTACGATTTACTGTTCTTAAGCTATGCTCAGTTTATTACCTACTGCCTCCCATGTTGACAGCCACTTTCTGGCTTTATTGTGTACAAATATTATTTCCTATTTTATGGTACGTTGCGATCTGTTTGACTGATATATAAACACAGTATGTCTGAAATAAATGATTCGATTCGATTTGCATATTGGAAGCTGGTATTTGGTGTTCTGGACTCAAGTGGACGGGCTAGGCGGACAGAGGACCGATAAGGACGTTAGGCTGCTCATACCGGTCGAACGTCATTGGTTTGGCACAGTGCTAAGATTGTATAAGTTATATTTTGATTGATGGGTAAATCATGTGATAAAAAGCCGGACATAAAGTCATAACAAAAAGGAGATATGATTTAGAATAATAAGATTAATATTAATAAAATCTATCTTATTCTATTGCATTCTAAACAGTACTCATCATTATAAAATGATAAACCAATAGAGTAAGTTACTTATTTTGTTGAAAGTCATAGATAAACTGAATAAATCCCAAAATAAGAAACTATAGTTCTAAGGAAAGATGGATAATAGTCTAACAGTGAAATCTAGTTTGCCGCACGACATTTTGTCCTATTTGGGACTCATCAACTGGATGTACCTATATCTCAGAGTTCATATTCACTATAGGACTCGAATCCAGTATCGTTCACTTTAAACACCTTCATGTTATTCACTTAGCTACTGAGTCTTGGATAACCATTTGGTTGTGCAATGGAGTGAAGTTTAGGACTCCAATTGATCAATCTCAAATAGAATGAAACGCGCGTCCTAGATTCCACTACTAGCGACTATCCATCTTTGCTTAGAATGCTTGTAAATTAAGGTAATACGCACAGTATGTACATATTGCCAACAAGAGACTGATCAATTGCAGTCCTAAATAACAATGGGAAGATTCAAGTAAACAATAATAAGTGAATTTGACCTAATGATAATTATAATATGATATGGCGAATTGTTCATATTTAACACAGGGCGTACAAAAATATCTTTCTTTCGTGATTATAAACTGATTTATTGATTCTGTAGAATGAAACAAATCGGTGTTTCAATCAAACCATAGTAAAAGAAATGATTAGATGTAGAAAAAAAGGTGCAGAGAGATTTCATCACTCAGGTTCTAAGCGGAGAAAAAAGTGATTGCGCCTGTTTCACCATGAATGATTCTAAGCCATATCATTTAAAGTCTCTAAGCATTTGGTTACGTTAATTATATGGACTTGAATCAAATAGTCTGTACCTAGCTACATAACTCAGTCTAACTGTCGATGACTTCATAGAAAACTAGTGCCACACTCCTTAGATTTCCTACCTTCAAGCTTTCTTCCAACCTTCCTCTACACTATACAACATTGACTGTCGAGGTATTCGGTAGTTTAGCATATGTAACATAAGTCATAACCACTTCAGCTGATAAAGATTTATCACCTCATCAACAATATTTACCTAGTACAGTATGCCTAAACCTCAGAACTTTACATTTATAAAACTGATTATTGAATTCATCATTAAACACTGAGCCAAAAAAACTCAACAAATAAATAAACTGATCGATATATATATATATATATTCAGTTTCAACGTACATCCATTGATTGTTTTCTTCTAAAAAGCGTGTTACACCGGTTTGTGCAGCCAAATTACAAATATGAATGTGAACATCTATAAAAGAAAATACAACACATACAGGTGATTCCTCCTTTAAGGATACAGATAATAATAATTAGAACTATGAAAGGAATTCATTGTAAATGTACATTTGAATGAAGATAAACTATACTCTCATTCGGAATTTCGACCTTAAGCCTGGCAATCAACCAAAATGAAAAGGGGGAATTATTGTTTACACTATCGTAATCTGTAATGAAGGATGTGTTTTATTCTTTGTTATTTTTACTGACTCTTCCCACCCCCGGCCGTATTAGGGGCATTTGGGGTGGGGGGCAGATTGATTTAATAAGCCCTCAATGATGAGATTCCATATAAATGTGACATATTCAAAACTTACCGATAGAATGATACTAATGAAAATTTCACGTTTATTAGTAGATTATATTTACGATTCTGAATTAAACAATAAAAAATCATGCAATCGCTAATCTGTCCACTTGGTTCTATCATTCTAACAGTGAACACAATATAGATCAGAATACTGAGTAAGAGGATATTCTATCTACGTAATGCATGAAAAGACTTAATATCATGATCTTCTAATGCCCCCGAACGCCTTGGTACGGCCAAGGGTGGGGAGAGTCCACTTTCCCTCTCCAAATGCTCTTACATGACTACGCGTATACATCCATTGACAGGGAAGTCCTACTCATTGCGAACAAAAATGTTCTCTTCTCGACAAAATCACCTAATTATTCTATACATTCGTACTTATAGTTATATGAAAAACATATGCCAATATATAATCATTGGGTCGGGATTATGTGGAAGTCCTACATATTGTCTTCTTGCGTTGAGGGTGTCGTATACGAAATTGAAAGGACGATAAGTGAATATCTGGCACTTTAACCGGCTTGGTGGATATGGAGGATTGACATAGAGGAGTTAGTTGGGAAACCCTGATTCCAAACCTATGGTGCATATGAGCTCCAGGATCCTGAAGGGACAAATAGCGTATGAACCTATTATTGGTGACTGACTACCGTTGGACTGCATCCCGTAACGTTGCTCCACTGTCTTGTGGGTCAGACCTATAGGTAAAAGATTCGGGGTGTGCCCCCCCCTAAGGAAACCACCTGCTTCGATCTGGGCACCTGAACAGTATCATAACCCACACACAAATCAAGTGACTTTATTATTATTATTATTATTATTATTATTATTATTATTATTATTATTATTAGTTGTTAACATAGAAATATGCTTATATTCTAGTCAAGTCAGTCATGTGTTCTTAACCAAAGTTATGTTGATATCCTATAGACCACTAACAGGATAACTATTCATCTAAGTTAAATTTTAACATCTCATTGATGTCAAGAAAAAAATTAGGCTGGTGGAGAGGATTTGTAAATCAGATGGATGATTTTGATAGGGTTTTGTTCTCTGAGCTGGATAGTTTGGTTGTGGAGCTTTCATCTTTCTTCTAAACAATATCATCGGCACAAACTTCAGGTAGAAGTAAAGTCTTCGAACCAATCAGGAAAATTATGCATAAACATAGGAAAAAAAATCAAACCAATGGAAGATACAACCAGAACAAAGAAGTAAACAATGACAAGTTGAAGGTAAACAACAACTAATCAACATCGGAATGTACAGGACAAGCTTTGAACCATATGTAGAGAAATTCGAACACTTCATTTCTACTTGAAGTTTGTGTTGATCATGTCGTTCAGAAGAACAACGAGTAAGCTCCACGACCAAATCATCCAGTTCAGAGAACAAAACTCCATCAAAAAAGAAAACTAAGCGTTATTACAAATATTGTATAAGAAGTAACTTACCAGTTCGATGAATTAAATGATCCATATGATTAAGTCTAGTTAATGCTTCACCACCAGGATAGTTTTTTCTTGCAATCATTATCAATACAATAGAACATAGTATATTCACAAGGAGATGTATATAACAATAGAAAATGAATAAAATACGAAATTTTGTTATTCTATTTAATTTATGATGATTTTTAATTAAATCCATATATGTTCCTTTCAATTTAAGCATTGGTTTCTCTCTATAATAAAACAAAACAAGAAGAAGAAGAAGAAGAAAACTAGATTTAATATAAATTAGAAACAGAGGGGTTTTGTGGAGATTATAGTAATCTAATAATTGAATTCATGAGTCATTTGAAGCTAGACCATCATGGAAAAACTTGGATGACCGTTTCGTGCTAGTATGGGACTCCTCAGCAATGAGCATCTACGATCCCAACTCATGAGATTCGAACACAAGACTTATCAGTCTCATGAATTCAACTATGGAATGACTTAAATCTCCACAACCCCCCCCCATCTGATAATAATCATTGTATGCTCACTAATGACTGGCTTTCTATTCAATACTCAATTTATTTGAATCTATTTAAATGTTGGCTTATAATTATTATTATATTATCATTATTTGGACACATAGATATTGGTACAGGGAGGCGCCAAATACATATGCACCACATGAATCTCATTTAATTTGTGCGAGGGTTGTGATACTGCCCGGGTGCCCAAACCGAAGCAAGTGGTTTTCTTAGGGGGTCAATCCCCGAGCCTTCGACCTGAAGGTCTGATCCACAAGGCAGCCGAGCATCGTAAGGAGATGCAGTCCCATGGTAGCCGGTGATCAACGATTGGTTCATACACCGTTTATTCTCTCAGGATACTTGAGCCCATGTGCACCATTGGTTTGGAATCAGGGTTTCCCAACTAACTCTTCTATGTCGATTCTCCATATCCACCAACCCGGTTAAAGTGCCGGACATTCACTTTCCGCCCTCTCAATTTCGTAAACAACACCCTCGCCACGGGAAGGCAATGAGTAGGACTTCCCTGTCAGGGGCTATATACACGTGGCCATTTGAGAGCATTTCGAGAGGGTGAGCGGACTCTCGCCACTATCGGCCGTACCAAGGCATTTGGAGGCTTTATAATTACAGGAAAATAAAAATACTTAAGTAATATACAAAAATGATAAACAACTTACAAATAAGCCCAAATATCTGCTACCACTAAATTGAATATAGGCAATATATAAATAATGAAACGTAATTCTTTATGAGGTAAGAAAGAGTATAAACCAACGAATATAAAACCAACTAATAATAATCCATTCGATTGTAAATAGATTGTGTTATGCTGGTAACCAAAATACTTTTGTAAAGGTATTGAGAGAATGATTATAATAATCCATGTAAATAATAATATATAAGTGGATAAAAGTGATTTTGGTAATGCAGATGTGAAATACCAATGAAATGGATATATCTAAAGAACACATGTTTAGAATATAGCATGTAATTTATAACAATCTACACACATACACACACACACAAAACGTATGTACGTTATCCAGTTAGAAACATGTGACATTGCTGAGGAGTGCCTTTGCGTGTGGTTAGTTCTATACTTTGTCCACGTACAATTAGGACTAGAAAAGGGTTAAAGTGAATAAATACGTAGTGTGACTAGAAAAAGGTATGATTGTGATCTATTTAATCATTAACTATAACCTTGCAGTATCTGAATAACTCAGCTTCATAGTCGTGTTATCATCATTGTTACTGAAGATCTTTAGAAGACTAAACCTTACAAAATGGAGGAGTCAACTACGTGCTTCAACCCGATAAATCTCTTCAGGTAAGAGATCAATATCAGTCAGTTTTATTTTCAGTTTTCTTATGGATAACCAAATAAATTAAAATTGGGATAGTAGTATAGCATTAGGCTATACTAACTGTCGTAGACGATTCAGATTACTTAGCATGCAGGGTGGCAACAATAAGAACATGCTGGAAGAGGTGTTAAAACTAAAATGTTGTACCAATCTATGACTGTTGATGTGAGTAGTATTGTTAGCTGGAGTCCGTGAGATAATTGGGATCAAAGGTTGAATGATTGATCAAGCAGGGCTAAAAATCGGCTATAGCGCTACAATTGTATCCATTTCCGATCTAACATTACTGTCATAGACTTTCGCGACTCCTAGATTCTAGTCGTTTTTTCCCAAACTTTTAATATGTAATTTTTACGATCATTGATACTATTATTACATCCATTTTGCTTCCCTTTGAATGCACTGATATAATGCACAGTAACTTGGATTATTGCATACTTGTACCAAGTGCTACATTCTTAATGACTGACTAAACCTATTCACATAACAGTTTGATATAATTTATCTTAATAATCACTTTATTGAAGTAGGATATTACATGGTTGTCAAATCAGAACGTTTAATCTTAAAAACGAAAATGGTCAATAGCTGAGAACAATCAAATACAAATAAACTATAGTAAACATAATCAGCCTTGAATCTTTAGATTTAAATAGTGAGGATTCACTAGTCTGTCTTTGAGTTAGTTATAAATTTATGGTAACGATTTAGAACCTCAATGTTAAGTTTTCTATTTCAGTGTTGATAAATAATGGTCAATAAAAGGATAAATGTAGACCAGTTGGACTACATTCTGTTTAACCACTTTTTTTAAACATCTGGCTAACTAATAGTAATGTCAATGGTTAAGATAATGATTCAGTTGAAGCTAGACCACCATGGAAAACCCGGAAGCACAGGACGGCCGTTTCATCCTATAGCGGGACTCCTCAGCAGTGCGCATCCACGACCTCGCCCCCTGCGAGATTCGAAACAAGGACCTACTGGTTTCGCGTGCGAGCACTTAACAACTAAACCACTGAGCCATCATCCGACGGTGTTAATGTCTAACTTCAAATATTAATGTGTCTAGTCACAATAAGTAGGATAGTATTATAGCAAAAATGAAAATGTAAAAAAAATTGTGTGAATGAAATGCATAGTAGGAGAATGTCACCTTGTCCATTGAGATAATAATAATAATATTTTTGTGTGAATATAATATGTAATAAGGCGGGGTGTTATCAAGGTAATTACGATAAACGAATTGGGAATGATGGATGTGAAGAGTAAAATAGAGATAATAAAAAAAGAGGGGTAAGATGTTTATAATATTCACTTTAGGTATCCGGTGATCCAGTCGTGGGCCAAGGTAAAAACAGAGGCTGGATATACTTTTTCTGGATACATAAGTTTGGTTTTTTGGAGTTGATCCAGATGGCTCCGGCTATGTAGAGTAATCGTAATCTAGCTCCTTGAGATAGATATTTTGGCACTTGATATAAAACAGAGAAAGCTTCTTCTATTTTGATATGATGTTCACTATCTACCAAGTGTGAAAGGATAGTGCTGTTAATCAATTTAGTAACTCCTTTTCTCAACCGTGCTGGTACATGTTCACGAACATACAAGGATAAGACCCTCTGATTACGACCTATGTAACTAGCTCCAAAGTAGTTGAGTTAATATACACACATGGAGGAGCCCATCTTCGGTAACCTATACTTGATTAGTTGTGTGAGTACTGGTTTAGTTAAGAAAATTATGGGTAGGATAACGCATTCACTGTTTGGAGTGAAAAGCACTAAGTTCGGATTCCAACTTTAGAGTGTAAGTGTATCCAACTAAGTCGTGAACAGGACGAAATGCGTGTCCTGGATCCCATTGCTAATCACAATCTATCTCTTTTAGTTAACGTTAATGTTGCTTTAAGAACAGACTGCAAACAATACCACGTCATTTCAAGGTGAAATCCTCTTATAATTTTTTTAAAAAGCCAAGCTAACTACTCCGTAATATCACTCTTAACCTTCGAAGCCTCCAGTTGAGTTCCAGAGGACATTTACGTTGCCGTTTCTCCATCCATTAAGGAGAAGAGATGAACGTGTTAAAACATGAACCTCGAGATAAGCGAAAGTTCACTATCGGTCCTCTCGAAAGTTAATTGACAATATGATCGATCTGTACCTTATGTTATTCGAACAGACTATGCTTACAGAGTACTTATCATCCATTGTTAGTCTATTTTAAACCCACTGTCGATGATAATTTTCAACAAAATCGAATTATGTGCGTAGTGATTTAGGGTTGGTCGACTGAAATATATAATTCTGCTCTGCATAGTCAACTCATTTAGACACAATTATTTCAACGATAAGTGTTTCCAAATTAATATCAAAAACGAGATGGTGGAGAAGATTTACACCTCAGGTGGATGATTTTGATGGAGTTTTGTTCTCTGAGCTGGATGGTTCGATCGTGGATCTTTCATCGTTCTTCTGAACGACATCATCACCTGATGATGAAAGCTCCACGACAGAATCATCCAGCTCAGAGAACAAAACTCCATCATAATATCAAATACCAATTTTAACATATTTTGACGGATTTTCGAACACCCTACCTTTTAGTACTTAAAATGTTGAAAATTCAGTAGTTTGGCTGATGATAATTAAGAGTTCAAGTTAATCAATCCTGTAGTTATTGAATACACCGATGTTCATCGAGAGACAACGGTATTCAATGAACTACACACACAAAAAAATAAAGAAAATATATCAATTTTGATTTTAAAAATGGTCAATATTATAGATAAAAGCTAAAACTAGATCAACACAAAAGGATACTCCCCATTGTCCACTTTTATTCAAAATTGTATTGAAATAAAATACTTCCAATTCTGGCCAGATTAATCTACCCCATAACAGAGAATCAATTAAAACACTGGACCCTGTACGGAAAGTTTAAGAAGCATTGATTAATTATAATTCAAACACATACCGATACTGATGATAGTAGTTGTAATGATTGTCTTCAACAGTTTCAGTCGAAGTTTAACAGATCCAGTAAATAGACCATATAAAAGACATGGACCAAATAGCAAAATTAATTCACTACGAAATACAAGAATTGCAATTCCAGCTGATGTAACAAATTTCGTTTCATTGCGAGTGATCAAATGACCCAACGAATACAAGACTACAATAGGAAGGAGAATTCACAAAAATATGTACTTTTAGTTACTACTAATATTTTAACCAAATAACCCATTTGCAATGGAATGTGCGCTACATTAATTATGTGACAGTTAATTACCCTAGCCGACTGCTGTAAGAAAGATGGACTGGAAATGTTTCAAGTTAGTGCTCTGATGATTTAAGTCTAATGCTAAAACCAGTTAAATACAGCTCTATATGATGAACAAAGTAGAAATCTCAATGACTAACACACATTCTGCTAAACTTCATTTAATAATAAGCGAACACAATATCCATGAAACCAAACAGACCAATAGTAACAAATGTCATTGAAGGAAGGTGAAAAAAGTACGCCATAAAGCATCTGGAACTGGAAGGTGCTAACTATTAAATTGAAAATAAAAATTTGGCATGGTCTCAATGTTTTGGATATAACTTTATAAAATGTCAATTATGAGCAGTGCTGAAGAGTCATAGAATAAATTGATACAGTAGTTTGATGCTCCTTTTCTTTCATTAATCCCATGGACATTACTTCACTTTGAAATAATCTAGTTTTCTAATTAACCACATTAACTGTAAAAATTAGACCACAAGAATCATAAAGTTCCAGGTTATACCGAGAAGTTTGGACTGAAAATTGGTTTAAAAAACTCATATTCACCTTTTACCAAATCAGTAAAGAAAAAACTCTCGAAGCTTTTCTGATAATAACAAATTGGATTTCTAAACCATTGCACAAGCAAAAAAAGTAATCATAGGCACAGATGAGTGGCAATTAGCCCCGAGTTCGAGTCCCGAAGCGAACATTCAGTCTAGGATGCAGGTACATTCGGCTGACGAGTCCCAAATGAGACGGAACGCACGTCAAACTGGATTTCACTGCTAGCCACCATCTATCTCTGCTTACAATGCTTGTGACTTAAGACAATATCGAGGCAATCCGCACAAGATGCACATATGTCAATAAGAGACTGATAAATTCCAGTCCTAAACATCAATGGAAATATTCAAATCAACCAATACAAATAAACTAAAACAATCATCTTTAGAAAAATGTTCAGTATCATGAAGATTAACTAATTCGATCCTTATTAAGCACAAGATAGAAATGTGATTAGTAATTTGTACGTAACCTCAGGGTGTTAGATTTTGCTGATTTAGACGGGGATAAACGAACCACAAACATGCTCGCATGGTTACGTAATGCAATAGAAATGAGTGTTTTCAATATTCACTAAGCAAAACTATGGTGTATATGCATCCCAAGTTAACTAGTGAGTCTCCTGGTATATTAATCTCTGAAAATAATAAATGAGAGCGTTATTTCTGAAAGAATGTGTATGACAAATTTATATGAAAATGGGGAAAGTGGACAACGCTGAAAAATATCATTTGACGTTATTAGTTTTGTCAAAAGTTCACCATAAACTTATTCAGCAGGTACTTGAGGTTGAGTAACGTTCTAAATGTGGGGGGTAATGATACTATTGGGTTGCCCGAACCAAAGTAGGTAGAGGGAGATTTGAATTGTAGCCGGAAGTCAAATGCTTCAACTAAAAAGCTACCACCACACGTTTTGATCCGAAAAGTAATGTTCGATTAAAGAAACTCGACAACATTTTTGTACATCTTTGCGACGTCTATCAATGGCAGACATTACCATTAAACCTGCCAAGGAGGTCGAATCCTGCCTTAAGGTTAGGAAACATCATCATAGTTGGGTATCAGTATGTGTGTTTCCGTGCCAGGATCTGGTGATAATTAATTAATTCATCTGGAAGTGATTAGACTATTGATCATTTAAGATAGGGAAAATGATTTTGAAAGGCTGTTTAATCATTTAGTATTAAAATACCCTATCTTATCCATTAAATTTTTTTTAGAAGCAGTGAGTAGGCAAGACACTGAAAACATTTCAGAATAATCAACCAGCAACTGAATATAACTAGATTTTGAGAAGAGAGAAACAGAAACACACAAACATTGTAAGCTTAATACAGTCTGCTTTTTAAGACAGGCAGGACTGAAATCTGGTCAGCTTTGAAATGAGTATACAACCCGCTACTTAGAACTTGATTATGATTACTTGTCTAGAAAGAAGAGCCAACTTAAAATTGACAATTAGGGTCGTTTCTATTAACATTACAGACGACTGATTTAGAAACCCACCAGCGAAAGGATTTGAAATAAGCAAAAGGATTAACTTGTTCCGACTAGACTACGCTTATGAGAGGATTTTGGTTAATTAAATAAGCTTTTGCTTGGCGAACCTTTGTAGTTTCCTTATAAACACCAGGGAGACAGTTTTATGATTATGTACGCTATTTGCTTATTGGATTGAGATGATACACAGAACAAATTTTGATATTTTGGAATAATAAATAGGTTAAAACCTACTTGTTGTTTTAAATGATAATAGCAATTCTTATTAGATTGAAAGTCCTCAGATACGCTTTTAATAAAAAAGGAGAAAGTTTATGCGAGATAGCTAACTATGCTTCTTGAAAATATATACTAAGATTAGGTGAAATAGGTTCTCCTCAAGAAGCTTCACACAATCCAGGTACCACAGTAGCCCACTTCGGGTATCAAAGCGACAATGTATCTATAGAACCATTGTGATCATATTTAGATAGCAAAAAACAGTATCCCAAAGTTTAAAATAAAGAAACAATAGTTAGAAAAGTTCTTTCATTAACTACATATAGAACGCTAATGTGCAAGAATATCCAGGATGTGCTTAAATGGGCAGTTAGACTGAATCGCTAGAAAGACAAAAGAATAAATTGGGGATTTAACGACTTCGTCCGAGTACTTTCGGTGTAGAATTTGAACATTGGCACAAGAATGGACCCTAATAGTAGTCCTAGTCTCCTGTACTTCGGCTAGTATTCAAGTATGACTGGTAATATTCAACTTAGAAAATCAGGGTGATACTCAAATACTTGTTTCAGCATCCGAAAAAGTGATACATATAGGTACGACCGAGGGTACGAAGAGTTCTTCACTCGCGAAATGTTCTCATATGGTCACACATCTACATATATATATACCCACTGGCATGGAAGTCCTAATAGCTACCTTGTCGAATACGAAATAAAAAGGATGAAAAAAGAATGTCTAGTGCTTAAACCAGGTTGGTGGATATAGAGCATACAACTAATAAAGTTGGAAAACTCTGATTGCAACCCATCGGTTCACATGCAATTCAAGATCCTGAGAAATCGAATGGAGTATGAACCTATTTTCGAACCCTCACTACCATGAAAATCCACCTCTAAACATTTCCCCACTACCTGGTGGATTGAACCTCTGGTTCAGAGATTCGACGTTGGCCTCCTAAGAAAACCACTTGATTTGGTTTAAGCACTCGAACAGCATTCTACCCCGCACATAGGTTCAACGATTTGTGTGGCACATACATATTTTAGTGCCCGATTGTACCAGTGTTTGTCTTCCAATAAACAAATAAATACAGCATTGTTACTTGGATAACACACACTGCTACATAAACTACAGTTCGGATACATTTTACACTAAACGATTCACATTACAAATCGGTCTCAATATTTGAATATGATTGGACAATTGTTTGGTAATGGGTTGTTTTCCTGACCTCATACATTTCCCGTAATTTTAATTTCAATTACTTATCTGACCAAAAGAATCCTTTATGATTGTATTTTTCTCTACTGAACAGCTCCGCTCACTATATATAAGTCTTGTTTACTTATTTTCAGCAATTTGTCGCTTTTGATTATACTCACCCTCCATCTTATTACTTTTTTAGTCTTATTTCCTTATTATGTGGTGCATATTTGTTTTGGTCATTTGTACCAATACTTATGTATTTAAATAAATGAAATAGCACAGAGAGGGATGACTTGTACGGCTAATCGATTAGGCTACAGCTAAAATCCATTAGCAGGAGCGATTTTGTAAGATGGCTAAACTACAGAGTTGGTTGCACACTGACTAATACCTGAGTAAACATGCGAAAAGATTTATTAGGCATGCATATTGTATAGGAAATGCTTCCTGCTTTGATTACAGTGAGCTATTTTTAAGAAAAATGAACTTAAAAACGCGTTGAGCGAAAGAATATTTCTTTTCTATTAGTTCCTTGCTAAGACTCTACATTAACATATGCTTTATACTTAAGAATGAAAACAATATAAAATAAATGGTCGTTGGTCGATCTGAAAATGTATCAGTATTTTCTCTAGAAGCAACAATTATATAAAAACTCAACAGACGCAAAATCAAACCTAAGGTTTACGTAGTTAGTAATCTTAACTTTAGATTTAATTTTCCATTAATTGTGTTTTTAAATGATTGGCGTTTCTAGAGAAATTACCGGCACATTCTTAAACTGACCGACGACCACTTATTTATTATTGATTTCATTCTTAATCATAAAACTTACACAGTGTAGTCTTGATGAGGAACTAACTGAAAAGAAATAATTCTCCACACTTGTCTTAGACATATGAATGAGAGACAAATTTAACAATAAAACGTACCAAGTATGAAAGCATATGTGTTCGGTAGCGTTCGTGAGGCATAAAACGCCAAGTGGAACTGACTGCAGCAGATTATAAGAAGACGTATGCATACATGTTTACCGAAGACTTTCTTCACGCAATGTGAGAAATTGATCAAACTCAGGGCCATTATTAATCCTAAGCACATTCTAACTAAGCAATAAGGTTAGCAATATGTACTACCAATGTACTGGGAAATGAACTTCTGCATTCCTAACAAAGTGTTTACGGAGACTAGCGGCGATACAATCCAGGCAACAGACAGGCAACCCAGGAACGACCTCGGTACAACACCTGGAAAATAGTTATGATCGTACTGTAATTTCAACGTAGAACAATATCTTGTAAACACACCATAGTTATGTTAGTTCGCAAATAGAGCAAGTCGTGTAAGGCTTGCATGCCGAAGCTTTCCTCAACTTTTGTGTAAGGACAGATGAGAACCACAGTAATGACGTATACAGCAAAGAGAATTTCAACATTTTCCATCTTGAAAAGTGATATTCAATTGTTGATGAGTACGGTATTGTTAGGACAGCAGTGACTGAAAAATAAACCTGCAATAAAATATAGGAGAACAAAAACATAAGCTGGAGTCCGACTCAATACGTGAATTCCACACAAATTTAATAACTTCGGAGGTAAATCCCGCACACATTATGAGTACACTCGAATCGTAATTACCTGTCGACCACAACGACCTTGAAGGTCAGAACACGCCCTTCATATACGGAATAACCGCCGTTTATCGGGAACTCAAGGTCACGGGGCAAGGAGGGACATTTGAGCTATCTACTGTGCCGAAGGTAGGCTGGCTAAAACATTTGCTTTGGAAATTGCTCATTATATGCATCAATATGTGTAAATCCGGTTCCGGTGCTTGTTGGTTGTTTGTAGAGCTGGATAATTTGTTAGCATTTCATTCATCTCTCATTGAATCATAAACGAATGGAATCCATTATCTCAGCACATGATCAAAGCTCCATCTGTCTACAGTTCCAGCAGAAATCTAGATCAACTAACAGACCACCATCGCTAAGACCAATGCAAGCCACCTAGCCTACTGTGCTTCCCAAACCGGATCTTTTCAATCTTCCGACCTCGAGGTCTGGTCTTGATCATGGTCTGCAAATCCAAAACTCCCAATTTTTGGGAAAATTTGACCCACTTTTTGGAAATTTCGGGGAAACCGCTATAGTAAGCTTTGGTGAAATGGCACAAAAACCCCAAAACGTTGGAGTTTTTCCCCGAAGTTGGGAGCTTGGGATTCTTCTCTTCCCGGAGAGATTTCGCCTAAATAGTCGACACCACAGGCAAAAGACCGATTTTTAGCCTTTATTTCCTCCAAAATCTAAATTCTAAAATTCGCCTTAATTTTACCATTGTTGGTTTGCTGGGCAGTGATAAGGTCTGTTGACGCGGGTTAATCCTTGCAGCATTTATTCTATTGGAAATCTAGTTGTTTTTGAAAGTGTTCACTGGTGTACTGATGGCATGTATCCGGTTGGGGTGTTCTAGCAGTTGGCCACACACAAACAAACAATGAAATCTTCGTCTTTTTAAAGGCGGAATCGCACTCTGAGTTTATTTGTCCTCGGTTTTTAAACCCTAATTAGGATTCAAATACCGAGAACTCTCAAGAAGCTTCAAAATCTGGGGAAACTTCATGATATTTCCCGAACCAGGAGAAATTCTAGGGGTTTTAGTCTCATTCCCTCAAGATTTTTCAATGGTGCTCCCCAAAAACTAATGAAGGTTTCCTTAAAATTGGGAGAGCTTCATAAGACCTAACTGAAATACCTTATCCAATGTCTTTCCGAAATCCATAAATATCATATCGACAGATGAATCACTATCTTGGGCTGCTGTCGAACCCTTTCTCAGACTTTGTAAGTTAATTAAGCATGAGTTTTCTAAAGCACGAGTTTATCAGGTGTTAAAATGTGTGATACTACATGGTTTAATAACTTCGCCCGATTTTTTTTCAAATACATTAGCTACCCTACTAGTTATACTAACAGGTCAGTAGTTAAACACAATCTGTTGCTTTCCACACTTAATACAGGGTTCTGAAGTCGTGTCCCGGAGGGATGACATCAATCATAAATATAACCTGTCAGGGTCTGGGGACTTGTCAGTTTTAAGGCTACTAAGTAAAAACGACTATCTTAGTTACAAGCAACGGCCCTTTAGTTGCCTCAACATTGAGGATATAAGAAGTATTGACAACTATCTTCGGAGTAGTCCTCATTGAAACAGTTTGATAAACTAACTGTGATCATATCTGGTTCAGTTAGTGTGTCTTCATTCTCGTGCAACTGTAATAGATGAATCCTGTCACTGCTTTGTCCTCCTGTCAATATGTGAGTAAGAATGTTTCGCACTAGTACGGCTATCTTGTGCCAACTGCCTTTCATAAGAAGTGAGAGTTCTAGAGATAGTCGTTTTACACATACTCCAGATCTTTCGGTACCCACACTTAAGTGATTCGTCACCCTCTTGTTAAAAATGAGTCACAAAAGTTTTCTACGCCACAGTAACTATTGGATTTCCTTATCAATCCATGGAGGTAGATGTAATAGCTTATATGGAGTTTAAGATGTGGTAAACGGTTTTCCACATCTTATAGTATGGCTTTAAACTTACCTCTTCATGTTCAATCAAATTATCTATACTGATTAACCAATTTTCTGAGATAGCACAATCTCTGATCCTTTGGATGTTTGCGCACCAGATATTGGGACGGGGTAGAACAGATTCATATGTATACTGTTTTTTAAACCTAAAATACAATGCAATCCGATCCCTGTTCTCCACTGAGGACAGTAGGTAAATTTTAGTTACACCATAATGGTGAGTGGGCCCCTAAATGCCGTAGTACGGCCGAGGGTAAGGAGAGTCAGCTCACCCACTCGAAATGCTCTCACATGACCACGCTTATAGAGCGATTGACAGGGAAGTCCCACTCACTACCTTCCCGTGAATGTGTTGTTTGCGAACTTGAGAGAGCGAAAAGCGAATGTTCGGCACCTTAACTTGGTTGGTGGATATAGAAGATCGATCTAGGGGAGTTGGAAAACCCTGATTCCAAACCAACAGTGCATATGGGCTCCAGGATTCTAAAGAAACGAATGGCGTATGAACCAATCGTTGATGACCGGCTTCTGTGAGACTGCATCTCCTGACGTTGCTCCACTACCTTGTAGATTAGATCTGTAGGTCAAAAACTCCGAGTGTGACCCCTTAAGCAAACTACTGGCTCTAATCTAGGCACTCGGGCAGTATCACAGTCCTCACACAAATTAATGATAACTGCTACTGGCCTCATTGTTGTGTGGCGCATATGTATTTGGTGCCTCCTTTTACCAATTTTATGTGTTCAAATAAATAATGATGAGTGGAGACAAGGTCCAGCACTGGTGGCTCATTTTTTTAAGTTTAAATATGCTGGTTTTGTGATACATTGTACTAATGCACATTGTTGACTAATTGATAGTAGGTTGCCGTCAAAACATCCACTTGAATTTGCTAGTTCTGATAAATTGATTTGCAACCTTGAAATTCCTGATGCTGAAACAGCAATTAAGCTAATTATAAATACATAAATGTGTACCAAAATCAAACTTCAGCTAGTGATTGTTGAGGTAACCGACGTATAAACAACCATTTTACAAATATCTCTAAAAGCGTTAACTGTGGGTTTGGATCTAAGCTTTTGGTAAGATAAGCGTAACAGGAAATAAATAATTTAAAACGGGATAGTTTATTGCTTTTTGAACTCGTGCCATTTTGAGTAGAGCGTTTACGTTATAGTAAAAGGGTAAAGGGCTCATTATTGTTCTCTCGAGGTTTCACTGTTCACAGTTTTGCATGATGTCAAAGTGGTGTCCACTCTCATTGGTTAAGTCGTCCAACTTCCAGCCACTATGTTGTGGCTTCGAACTCCTCGCCTTTCATTTCGGTTTGGGCAACTGGGTAGTTTCTCTGACTCACACTTAAAGTGTGGCTCAAAGCCGTGTTCACGAATCTGTATATGGTCATTTGAAATTATCGATCAACGCCTTCACATGTTGTTTCCAGTCACTGAGAAAGTGGTTGGTCCAATCCATAACAGTCAACGCTGGAGTCTTGCTGGTCCACTCTAAGACGCATCTGAGATGCCTTATCGAAGACTGTACTAAAATCGTTCATAGTTGAATTCACCGGAATACCTTTTACACTAGCCTGTAGAGATGTTCAGTCTACTGATATTATCAATCCGTTTTCATCATTGACAGTATTATCACATCGCTAATTCTTCCTTAACCCTATTATTTTCACTTTAATTATCCTCTCAAGAATTATGAATCAGCTTGAGCAAGATCTGCGGACTAAACCGATTTGCCTGATTGTCCTTGGTATGGCTGGTTCAGGCAAAACGACATTTGTGAAGAAGCTAACTGAGTATTTAACAGTTTCATCAAATTCGTCGTATACAATTAATTTAGACCCAGCAGTTTATCATATTCCGTACAATCCTAACATTGGTAAGCCTCAGTTTACTGGTGATGTTTAAAGATATTCGCGATACTGTCAAGTTTAAAGAGGTTATGAAACAATATGGTTATGGACCAAATGGAGCTATTATGACATCGTTGAATTTCTTCGCCTCACAATTTCATAAAGTTGTGGATATAATTAACAGCAACTCCGGAAAGGTTTCCTATGTAATAATCGATACACCTGGACAGATTGAAGTGTTCACATGGTCTGCTTCAGGAACTATTATTACAGAACTATTAGTAAGTTGAATTTTATATTTGTTAGTAAAGGTTTATATTTAGGGCAATTCTTTTCCTACTCTAATTATATACGTAATGGATACTCCACGAAGCCACAATCCCATCACATTCATGTCTAATATGCTCTATGCTTGCAGTGTATTGTATAAAATGCGACTTCCGTTTATATTAGTTCTTAATAAAGTAAGTACTGTATAATTGTTGTTGGATTTTTTAAATCTTTATTTGACCCACCTTATGTATCTATTACTATGATTCTTTGTTTATCAAATATTACTTTGATTTTGTTTGTTAACTATAAGATGCTTCGCAAAACTTCTATCTTCGCTTCTAATCATTTAAACTGAATATTTTATTCAAGTGATGTATCTAACTAGACAATAAGATAATGTTAGCGCCGTAAAGCTTAATGTTCTCCAATTCTATTGGGCACATATAACACAACTTTCTGTATAGAGTTCTCAATGCAACTTCATAAGGTATAAGTTGATGAATGTTAACTATGAATCCGATTATTATTTATGTTCCTTTGGCTGTTCTGTTAATTGGAGATATAGTTCAGTGGTTTTAACACTCAATTACTAATCATGATACTATATGTTCAGACTGTCCTCCTTTACTTTAGTCCCGATCGTTGCTACTACCTTGATGTGGTGGTTGGACCTGCCTATCGTGCTGAACCATTTGGGTTATACTGGCTGGAACGATCATTCCTCAAGACTCTATCATGCCACGCAAGTCGGTTGAAGAGTGGTAAAACTGAAAGCAGCAAACCCAAGATCCGAGGGCGAAGTCGTACTGTTGACTGTGCAGATGTGTGACGGCGGTAAGGTGTTTCCCTCAGACAAACAGCATAGCAGCAATGTTGAGTTCCCACAAAGGAGGGGTGGGGTTAGAAGTGGTCGATTTTAAAAATGCACACCTCGCCTTATCCCATGGGTTTCCGTCTCCGGCGGTAAGGTCTCAATATATACTAAGCTAACACAAAAACTACCTACAAGATGGTCGTGTGTGACCGGCCTCAAGCAGCAGGATTAACATCCTAAAAGCCCTATATACAAACATCTCAGACAGAGTAAGGGCATACAACCACCTCTCTCCATTGTTCCATTCGAGTAGTGGGGTTAGGCAGGGTTGCCCAATCTCACCATTCCTCTTCAACTTTGCCATCGATGACATTCTGGAAACAGCTCTGATGAATGTAAGTAATGGTGGTGTGGATCTGTTGCCTGGAGAAAGACTTCTCGACCTTGAGTATGCGGACGATATTGTCTTACTGTGCGATAATCCCCAAGACATGCAATTCGCGCTTAATCAGTTGGCATTCAGTGTCCGTAGGTATGGTATGTGCTTTGCACCTTCGAAGTGCAAAGTACTTCTACAAGACTGGCAGGATTCCAATCCTGTACTCACCCTGGATGGTGAGCAGATAGACGTAGTCGAGAAGTTCGTGTATCTGGGTAGCTGCATAAGTGCTGGTGGGGGTGTGAGTGATGAGATCAATGCACGTATAGTGAAAGCCAGAGCAGCTTATGCCAATCTGGGCCATCTTTGGCGCCTTCGTGATGTTAGTCTGGCTGTAAAAGGTCGGATCTACAACGCGTCGGTGAGAGCAGTTCTGCTCTATGCTTGTGAAACCTGGTCTCTCCGAGTTGAGGACGTTAGACGACTCTCTGTGTTCGATCATCGCTGTCTCCGAAGGATTGCTGACATTCAGTGGCAACACCATGTCAGTAATGCAGAGGTTCGGCATCGTGTGTTCGGGCACAGAGCTGATAATTCAATTGGTGTCACCATCTTGAAACACCGACTTCGGTGGCTTGGACATGTTCTACGAATGTCGTCCCGGAGAATTCCACGTCGTGCATTATTTGCCGACTCTGGGACTGGTTGGAAGAAGCGGAGAGGTGGTCAGTGCATGACATGGTGTCGTGGTATGAAAGAAAGCTGCAAAGGACTGGCTTGTGTCGGTCCTTCACGACTCCCTGGTTGGGGTCCGAGAGATGGTGCAACACAGTGGCTAGAGACGTTATCAGATATGGCTCAGAATAGAAGCCAGTGGCGATCCTGCTGTAACCTTCTTTTACTTTCTTCCTAAAAAGTGGTTGTGTCTCCCTTACCTGAAAGATTTCTTCCGATTGTACCTTTGCGTTCCCTGTTTACTAGCACATTACCTTACACCAATCTCTTCGTTATTGTTCTCTCTTTTTTTGTGCTCCTTAGCTTCTTTTTTTTCTTCCTTGTATTCCTCTTCGTATATTCATTGTTCTGTGTGGCGCATATATATTGGCGCTCTCTTGTACCAATATTCATGTGTCCAAATAAATAAATAAATAAATAAATAAATAAAGCTGTTCCTTGAGCATTACGGTTACGCTCTCAAATCACTAAGACGAACTCTAACCGAATTTCCTTTTCTGGTACTTATAGAAGAACCCTTCTACGATGTGGGTAATCAGGATGTGGTAAACACCCTCATACCTCCAACAACACTCAAGACCAATTCCCTCCTCCTTACTTTAGTATAAATGTTTGAATGATGTCATTATCTCTCACTTAGGTAGGTTCACATCAAAGTCTAGTAAATAAATTCCTAAAAAGCTGCAAACTTAGTTTATTGGGATATTACTCACTGCTAATGATCTAACACTGTAAACATGCATTGAGTAATTTAGGTGAACTACAAAAAATACATAATAGTCATTTTTCTTTCTAACAGTACGAATACTGGTTATCTTATATCGCTCAGAAAATTGCTTTCTCATCTTCAAATAAAATAACTTCGTCGTCTATGTCCTACACATGTCAAATTTCCGTAGTATATCAGTTCCTGAAAAACGAAGTGTAAGAGAATTCTTTCCTTTCTAAATGCAGAAGTGAATCGTTGGAGATTTAGTCCGTTCACTTGGGAAAATGCTCCGTTCTCCTCATCGAAACTAACATGATGAAAAAGTGCTTTCTTGTTTCGTAACAGAAGTGCGCGATAAATAGAATGTACAAGTCTTCTGTCATTATTTATGTGCTCTTTAGCTGACAATGTTAAAAATTGCTCCTACTTAATATAGCAATTAAGCAAATTTAAGTAAAACAGAACTAAGTATTTATAGATGTATTTGCCACTTAATTTTAGATATAAGAGTGTCTTGTGACTGGTTCAGATTGCATAAAAAATTGCATAGTTTATTGTCAGATGATAATCAGGGCATTGGTCTAATTCTTAGATTTAGCTAATGAGAATCATTTTACCACGGAATCCAATATAATTGTTAATCTCGTGAATGACAATACAACATTCAACTATTTGATCGTTATATTTTCGAAAGAGATTAATGTAGCCAGTAATTCACCCTTCTTGCTTGTGCAAATACTTCAGAACCTTATATACCTACTAGTTCTATGGAGAAATAACAACGGACTTAAATGTATCAATGCCGAGGATGGACTTGATAGTCTCAAATACATTAAGCATTTGGTAGAAAGTTAATCATATATATTTCAACAGTAACATCTTTTACTATAACGTTGAGCGATACAGATTTAAGTATCTAAGTGAATACGTATTTGATGTAGGAGGTTCCTATTTGTCTTGTTGATGGGTGACCATACTTATGAAATCTGGTTCTATCAAATACTGTTGACTCTCTACAAAATCAAGTGTAATTAAGTCACATTTCTGTCTACCCCAATTTCCAAATGTAAATGGGATTGTGTATTTTATGGGTTTACCAATGGTTACCGTTGTAATTGTTATTTACGTAAAATATTCGTACGAACTGAGGTATAAATAAGGGACTAAAAATTTTTTTGCATTTTACCTTTTTCACTTTTTTTGTAAGACTGACATTATAGACTGTGATTTCGCCATTCAATGGATGAGGGACTTTGAAACATTTCAAGATGCTCTAGCTGGTCATCAATCAACTGATGGACCATCTGAAATGGAAGGTGATAATCCTTGTCCTGGGACATCACCATACATGAATAGTCTGGTTCATTCTATGTCATTAGTGTTAGATGAATTCTATAGTACTTTGCGTTGTTGTGGTATCTCGTCGATAACTGGTGAAGGCATGAAAAAGTTTGTGGAAGAGATTGATGAAGCGAAAGAAGAGTACTTCAAGGTTTGTGATAGTTTCTTACATAAATAATTTTGTGTTTATAGGTAATAATTAGTTGTTTCAAAGTATTATCACGCTATTACGTTGTAAAATGACTATTACTGATCAGTGTTGATAACAGGCTTTGATCTATTATCATTATCTGAAGTCTCAAGATGGAAAAGAGCACCTTTAATTTTGCCTTTTTATCACAAATTAGTTGTATGAGCAACGCGGAAGTGACAGCAATGCTTATAACAACGCCCAAACTCGCCTTGTTCACGATCTAATCCCCTCTTCGTTTCGTAGTATTTTTCCTTTCCTTACTGTCATCCCTTCTGCAACTTCGCCTTTTTTCTGTAGGACACCAGTTCTGACGATTCAAACCCACGAAATCCTCTTCTTCGCCTCAAAACTACATATTCGAGCTTTCAGTGTGCGAGCCTCATGTCAAGTCAAACAGGCTTCATAAGCTAGAAATCTAGAATCTCGCGCCACTGACAAATACGGTATCTCCCAAACTTAGATATAGAATCCCAGTGTGGCCATTCATTTGACCCATCTTGGTAGGTAAACTCCAGAAATTTTTAAGGATGTTAGTCCATTCTAAGCAGCTAAACTGTCTGGGATACTAGCTAGAGTTTGGGAGCCGGACATAATCTCACTGGATTGAACTCAACCACGGATTGTCCCAGTCCACGAGAGATAATAGAAATTATTTCATGGTAACCATAGACCAATCAGTTTTACTAATAGATTATCTACAGTATTACGCTTGATAACCATCCGACGCTTTTCTGAGTCTCTGTAGTCACACATGCTTCTGGAGACTAGTCTGTTTTTCGTCCTGAGCGTAAATGTATTGATCGAATTTTCTCCTTTCGTCAGATTTTGAGGCACAATCCTACTTCCCAACTCCAGACTGTAATTATATCCGTTGATCTTAAGATTACATTCAACTTCGTCGAGTGTATGATTTCATCTGTGTTCATCATTAAAATTTGTAACTAAAAAATACCTAGACTTTAATTGCTTTCTAACTAAACACTTGATCGAGTCAGCGCCTATCATCGGAATCGCCAACCTCAAACGGTGTTCGTCAGTATTATCCACTATTTCCCTATTCACTTAATTTTGTCGTAAATTTCCTTCCAGAACTAAAACCTTATTCATATATTTTTTTCAGGAATTGATCTCTCTCCTCTAAACTCACTAATCCACCTGGAGTACGGAGCTAACATAGTATTTTTTAATGAAAACGTTACCATAATGCAAAATCTCTTGTATGCCTTAAATAGTGACGCAAGTATGATTTTAATGCTTTTCTCTCCATCCACTAAATGCAAAATTGTTGATTCAAGACTGATCTGTGTCGTCGCCAACATTTGATCCATAAGAGATAAAGTAGTTAGGTGCATTGATCCGGACACTTATTGCATCAACCTTTATTGCTCGCATCGTAATTCATTAACTTTCAACGGATAAAGAGGGAAATCATTTGCTTACGTGATGTTATTTAAAATATTGCAGCTTTTATTTGATCCGCTTAAGATCATCTACCGTTGGCTTCAAATTTTAGTTTGTCTGACAAAGATTATTGTTATTTGATGGATCATTGATGCTACATTGTTTCAATCTCTTCTTCTATTCATATTGTTATTTTCACTCCATAGTGCTAATGTGATATGCCAAGTTGGGCCAATTCACATGTCCCAGGTTCTAAGTTGGTATTTGCTTCTGTTTGGATGAAGTGTCATTGTAATAGTCTTCTTTTCATTTATATTCTGAAGATAGCAAAATTGATATCCCACTATTCTGAATACATTAGTAATAGACCCTCTTGGATTTTATGCAGCATTTTTCTTGTGTGTTCCTATTTCCACCCGAATTCCATAGTGTTCGTTGTATACTATATTGTAGTCTTCCTTATTACTCTTCCAAAACCTCTATTCACTTTTCTATGGAAACGACAAAACAAACAGTTTATAACTGTGATGAGACGGCTTTTGTGCCTGTCGGAGATGATAAGGTTTAATTTGTTTTGGTATCTAAAATCTAACTTGATAGTGTATGCTGAAAATGGTTATTTTTTTTATATGCATCACAGCTAGGCATCATAATTTTCAAGAGTTTGTCACTACATCATAGGTCTTATTATCTTGTATTCATTCACAGATAAATCTTCCGAGTTTGTATGCTAAACAAGAAAAAAACAAGCAAGATTCAAGTGGTAAGTTAGTATTATTATATATATACCTTATGCTGTAAACTGTGGACTATACATACCGTATAAGATTTGAACACGCGACTCGACGTACTAATCAATTCCAGTGAAACATGATTCGACACCGTAACTCAGGTATCTAAATTGACGTTATAGTTGTACTATTCAAATAATATGATAACGATCTATAAAATCTAATCAATATTATACATTTTTCCTGAGGGTTGTATGACTAAGTTAGTATGTAAGACTATTCACTCCTTATCAGATTATTATGGAACTGGCATTCGATCTGGACTAAGAAGGACTTGACACACATGGCATTGATCACCACCCAGTGGTCAATCAATTGTGATTACATCTCAGTCCTACAGGAGGTCGGTCGCGGCCCGAATAGCCTAGTAGTAACTCCTCTGATTGTGAAGCTGGGTGACACGGGGACGAATCCGTTCCAGTCCCCTCAAGATTACAGGTACACCTTGCTGACCGACGAGTGACAAATAGCACTAAATCCGGGTCCAGGGTTTCCTGTTGACTACCTCCAAGCACCATCTTATCTGAACATAGTGCACGCACTATTGAGTCACCTAAACTAGTGGTTACATTGCAACTTGGTTGATAACATTCGATCTACACTAATAAGGACTTGACACACATGAGATTGGTCACCACCCAGTGATCAATCAATTGTGAATACTAGTACCCTGCTTCAATTATTAATATTTCAAATCTATTTAACAAAAAATGTTTTTGAGTTATAACTTATCGGATTTTTATGTTTGTTTTGCATTCAGATAAATCTAGTAAGTCTCATTCATCCAAACATGGATCAATGCTTTTGGATTTGGCTGGTAATGATGACGAAGCTGAAAATGATCCGCTACCTGATGTTGATGGTATAGAAATTCGTCCACACAGTGATTCAGATGATAACGATGATGATGATGAATTTTTAGAATCAAAAGATCTCACATCTATTCAAAGTAGGTTTCAGTTAACTAATCAAAATTTTAAATGATAACAAAGCGCTAAATCTTAAAAAAGTTCATTCTGAGGAGATTGTCTATCAAGTTATGAGATTTCATATTATGCCACTTATTTACTCTCATATTTGTTATAATCCATTGTTTTATGTTAATCGAAGCGCCCCCAAATGCCTTGGTACGGCTGAGAGTGGGGAATCCGCTCTCCCTCTCCAAATGCTCTCGCATGGCCACGTGTATATAGCCTCTGCCAGGGAAGTCCCACTCATTGCCTTCTGGTGGCGGGGGTGTTGTTTACGAAAATGAGAGGACGAAAAGAGAATGTCCGGCGCTTTAACCGGATCCCAAACCAAATCAATGGTGCACATGGGCTCCAGTATCCTGCGGGAACAAATGGCGTATGAACCAGTTGTTGGTCACCGGCTACCATCGGACTGCATCTCCTTACGATGCTCCACTGCCTTGTGGATCAGACCTTCAGGTTGAAGGCTCGGGGAGTGGCCCCCTAAGAAAACCACCTGTTCCGGTTTGGGCACCCGGGCAGTATCACATCCTTCAGACATATCGAATGAGATTTGTGTGGCGCATATGTATTTGGTGCCTCCTTGTACCAATATCTGTGTGTTAAAATAAAATAATAATCGAAGCTATTCTACAGTACTACTGTGTTGTTATCTGAAAATTTTAATATGGAATTTATCGTCAACAAGCTTCCTTCTATAGTACACATAGATTTTAATTAGTTGTAATATGTATAATCTCATGGTCAGATAGATTTTCTGCTTATTTAGAGATTGTTTCTTCGAGATATTTCAATCTCATATATAGAAACATCTTAATCCCTTGCCAAATTTCCTTATGAATTCACATTTTTCAACTGCTTGTTTCTTCTTCTACTTGGTTGTATGTTGTTGAATAAATAATAAATCAAGAGTAAGGCAAATATAATACATGACACTAAGTGATAAAGCACATACTAGAGTTGAGAATGTAAAACGGTGGGCCTGGACTGTAGTTTAGAAATTGATGTCTTTATCAGTAATCACTCCTTAGTTCTATTATATTCAAATGTAACAAACAGGACAACCGGTGTGATGTTCAGTTGTGCTTACCTATTTGGAAATTTTTGTTTATTTATTTAAACATATAAATATTGGTATAAATACACACCAAAATGTATATGCACCACACAAATAATTGAATTTATGTGTGGGCTGGAATACTGCTCAAGTGTCTAAACCAAAATAGGAGGTTTTCTTAGGGGACCATCACTCAGCCTCTAACCCAGGGATCTGATCCACAAGTTAGTGAAGCGATGTTAAGAGGTGCAGTTTCATGATACCCAGGGACCAACAATCAACATTCGATCTCTCAGGATCCTGAAGTTCATGTGAACCGTTAGTTTGGAATCAGAGTATTCCAACTCCCTTAGGTGTACGCTCCATATCCACCAACCCGGTTTAAGTATTGAATATTCGCTTTTCTTCCTCTTAATCTCGTAAACAACAACTCCATGAGAAGGTAGTGAGTAGGACTCCCGTTTCAGTGGCTTTCTATATATGCGTTGCTACATGTGAGCATTTCAAGAAGGAGCAGACACTCTCCTCCCTCAGCCGTACCAGGGCATTCGGAAAACTCGGAGGCCTCAGTACTAGCGTTTCGCTGAATATTAAAGTGTGTTTTTACCCCTCTGTAATAGAAAACCCACCATAAAATGTGTGAGTTCTGTTTCCAAATTGATAACTAAATCGTCAACCTTAAATTTGAATATCATAATTTTGAAGTGTACTATGAAAAACAAACAACATCACATACAACAGTAACGGAGACTAGACTCTACTAAAAGCAGGGCGTGTGAAACGTCTGAAATCATGTTATAACAACTTTCCTCATCAGTATGTGGTTGTGAAGATTATTATGTTTTTGATTGAGATCATAAACCGATTGATGCTAGACCACCACTGAAAACCTGGAAGCACTCGACAGCCGTCTCATCCTTTCGTGGGAATCCTCACCAGTGCGCAACCACGATACCGCTCGCTGGATTCGAACCCAGGGCCTTCACTCTCGCGCGCAAATACTTAACGATTAGACCATTGAGCCGGCATTCAACGGTGTTAATGTCTAATTTCAACCAATCCACGAAATCGTGCGACCATCTATTTTTCAATATCAATCGGCTCATGATCTCAATCACAATTTTCTTAGTGTACGTTAAGCTGTAGATTTCAAGTTTACTGCTTCAAATGGTGATCTTAGTTGCACGTTTGCTTTGTTCCAGAGTTCATACCACTTAATTTTTTTCTGGTTAACGTTTTTTTAACGAGTTAGTTTTCTACGAGATGAGGCCGCTTACTCCATGCCTAACCCTCCTCCTTTAACCGGACTTGGGAACCAGCACTAATCCTAGAGGGGCTTCTGGCGGAGTTATACCATTTAATAGCAATATCTATAACATAAAACTTCAAATAGTAGTACTTATTATTATTATTATTATTATCATACTGATATGTTTGTTTATTTTGTTTAAATTTAGATAAATTTCAACAATCATGTTCTGTTGATCCTGTCCCTTCTATGAATTGTGAAAATTAATTCCTTCTATAAATGGAAATAATTATTTTGTACAAAATATAAATATTTTTTGTTGCTGAGATTCTAGCATTTTTATTATGATGGATATTATTGAATAGAAAATGAAGAGAATTCAGCGAAGAAAAATTTTCTCTTCTCGACGAAAACATTCAGTTAATCTATACATTCGTATTTATGTCAATATATAATCATTGAACCGGGATTATGTGGAAGTCCTACTCACTACTTTTTCACGATGGGAGTGTTGTTCACGAAATCAAGAGGACAAAAAGAGAATGTCCAGTGCTTTAACCGGGTTGGTGGATATGGAGGGTTCACTTAGAGTAGTTGAAAAACCCTAATGCCAAATCAATGGTGCATATGGGTTCCACAATCTTGAGGAAATAAATGGCGTATGAACCAATCGTTGGTTACCGGCTACCATGGGACTACATCTCCGTACGTTGCTCTACTGCCTTGTGGATCAAACCTTTAGGTCGAGGGCTCCAAGTATGGCCCTCTAAAGAAAATACCTGCTTCGGTTTGGGCACCCGGGCAGTATTGTGGCCCTCGTACAAATCGAATGTGGCACATATCTATTTGTTGCCTCCTTGTACTAATGTTTACATGCTTAAATAATCGGATATATGACGTTTACTGGTTAAATCTGTAAATTTTCTGGGTCTATGAAATCATCAGAGAATGCTTTCACGTAGATCAAAACATTTTTCACATTAATCAAAATTTCATGAAAATATTACTAAATAACAGAATATATCATAATCAACATGCTTAAAAACCTCCGGAGTTTACCTTCCAAGTTCTGCTTCCCTCCGTCGCTTTAAATTAGGCAACGCATTTTTAACCTAGCCAACAGTTTGTGGTCTTGTGTAGAGTTTCCATTCATGTTGGAAGGAAATAGGAAGTAATCGAAGATTAGCTGGAAGCCAGCTGAGGTTTCTTGAGATGTTTTTTTCATTGTTCCAGTTCCCTAGACTGAGATCGGGTCATAACTTTGTGTTTACCCCGAATAGTTCCACTAACAGCTGACTTATCAATACCTGACATTTCCGATGAATTAGAACAACTGTCTTGTGTGACCTGTAGTCTGTCTTATTTATCTCTCTTGCTTCCATCCCCAACTAATGCGCGCAGTCATAGTACAGATATTTTGTCAATTTATGTTTAAGTTTTCACTTATCATTATCCAAGCATCCTTAGATATATTCGAGCAGCTGACAACATAGTAGAAATTCGCGAAATCCATTGGTCGTTCATAACTTTTCGATTTAAGTCACTGAGAGATATCACTGTTATTTTGGGATAAGCACTAGTTTTGTGTTCGACTAAGTGCAGTTTTTCTGAAATATACTCGACCTTTTGATCGTTGAGGTGAATAAGCAGCTGTCTAAGCATAGCTGTAGTAGATTGTTATCGTATTAAAAATTATTGTTCTTTAGACCTAATGTAGATTCATTATGAACTTCCATTTAATAGAGTTCTTTTTAAAAAATTTCATATTTCTAAAGATAGTTCTCATGTCATATTAATATCATCTGAAGAAATACCTATCATCAGGATGTAAAACACAGACATTTCACTATATATACTGATAGCCTATCATAAATCTTATCTGTAATCTATGCGACTCTCTGTATACTCCAGGTTCTAGTTGAAAATCATCAACCAATATGGTAAATAAATTATTATAAAATTGTATTTACAAACCTAACCAAATAATGCTAAGTGTCCTGAGGAACTACTTCAAGTCTGACAGAATCTCATTAGGAATGGTTATCCGCCGATAATAAATTAACATTTAGACATCATCTGGAAGAGGCACCGACAGTGCAAAAGAAAATTTTTTATGAACATGGAAGTTAAAGGAGATACGATTGCTAAAATCTTGAATAAACGGATTTCAAAACCGTTGAATAAAACATTCTAGCTAGTTAAACTCCGAATTGTTTTCTCATTACCTTTATGTTTGTTGCTTTTCTTTATATCTGTCATTTGGACAATTATGTGACCCGTAAATTATTTCTATACTTCTATTTTTCTCTAACCCCCTGATTATTATGCAACCCCATCTAACACTTAGTTTCGAATCACTTCGTGATGCAATCGTTTCTATCCTTCCTTAGACATATATAACTATAAATACGAATGTACAGCTTAAGTAAATGATTTCGTCAAAAAGGGGATTTTCTTCACTGAATTCTCTTTATTTTTATTCAATGACACAATGGGTTATTTCGATTAATGTCACCTTTTTTGATAAGTTTCAACGTTGATTTCAATAATACTTTGTCAAGAAATCTATACACGATAGTATCCTGAGTGAATTGCACACAACTAACACCTAGTTAATTAATAGGAGCATATATCTGCGATATGATCACTAATTACTTGTCGAGGTTGTATTGGTTATGGTATGCATATCATTGATAATAACGACCCTTACCGATAGGAAAACGTCATTGCACCGAAGTAATTATGTAGAAGAAACTGTGCTGAAGAGTATTTTATCCAATATACACGGACCTAAATAAACTAACCACTTTTTGGTCGCAATGTTCCTTAACAGATCGGTTAAATGTATTTGTTTACTAGTGAAAACACAATGATAATAAATAACGTAGCCGCATTCACCTTACAATCGAAAAAGTCAGGTCGGGAAACAGCAGGTGATATTTTGTTTACTCGTGACCGGCTGTCAAGTACTAAGTTAGTTGGAAGTTGTTTATCAGTTCAGCAATTTCCAAAAGTTCGTCTGATGCAATATAACTAAACTTAAGTTGATTTCCCGATGAAAAATCTCCATAAAAGTTTATTTCAAAGTCAACACATTAAACCAACAAGTGGATGTAAAGTTCTGCGTACTAAACAACCATTGTCAGAACATCCTACATTTAGATGAATTACCGTATTCATAGCAATACGTTCGGTGTGTGTAATGCTACCTGTATTCTAAACGAAAGTAGGAGTTGACCAGTCACACACTCGTATTGAACAATTTTTGAAGACACGTTAGTTCCTTCCAAACTTGTTTATTAGACTGTACGAACACATATTGGTTTACTTTCCGATAATGTACAGCATTAATTTCTTGTTTAGAGATAATTTTACATTTATGGTTTGACCTTAGCTCCAAAGGTAGAGATTTAGTCAATTTCTAGTATCTAGACAGTTCGATTATGCGTACAACTGCTTTTTATTGATCGCGCCCTGAGCAGTAGGGTATTGATGAAAGAAGTTAAAACGAATTACGCACTATTGTTCGTAAAAATTTACTCGAACGAATGTCAACTACGTACCGCTAACTATAGGTGTGGATTGTTTTTTTTCTTCTGCAACCCACTAATTAACACTACTAGATGACTTTAAGAAAAAAACTTTTATTTCATATTCTATTCACACAACAAAAACATATGATTTACAAGTCTCAATTGTAAGAAGGAAGAACATCTGAGATCACGAATCTTGTAAGAATTGATACTGCTTATTGTAGACCTAAAATAGAGTTAAGCACGTGAACTACACCCAGAATCACAGGTTGCCATGCGACCAAATACCGTACCCAATCTAAGAGATTTCCGTATAGTAAATGCGGTTTATCCCATCTAATATTACAGAAATGTTAAGAAAGTTAATCACGTAAAGTTTTACTACTACATTATTGTTTAATACTATAGACAAAATACTCACAGTATTATTCATAATTTTACTATGAACGAATACTTTAAAAGCTACTAGCACGAAGTGGGAAATTCTTCCCTTTAAGCCAGTTTTAATTTGCTATGTAATATCAGTACCTCCCGCGTAGATGGACATAAAAAACACTCGTACATTTATCATAATCTTAGACAAGTGTTATGAAATAAGCCTGCGTTTAATACCATTCACACAAGTGATAATTTATCATATTACGAGAGGAGAAATATTAATCCATGCGTTTATAATAAACCCCAATAAGCATATCCTTGTCGTATATGATTACAATTACAACTTTACTGAACTTATAAATTATTTAAAACAATTAGTCCTTTTGATAAATCTGGATAGTACAATAGGTTGGAAGAAAGCTAGGGGTGGCCAGATCAAAACATGGCACAAATCTATGAAGTCATTGATAAGTGGACTGAGCCATGTTTGTAGGTGTAGATTACCTGGTTGGGGATTGCGAGATGATGGCAACCGATGGTTAGAGACCTTGAATGACATGGCTCGAAATCGTTTGCAATGGCGCAGGTGCATCCACTCTCTGTATTCTCCCAAATTCTAATCTGAATTCTTCATGTCCCTTTATTTTTTCTCTTTCCAAATTTATTTCACTGAATTAAACTCCTTGAATAACATCTTCAAACCCTAATGTTTCCGATTACTGCTTATACTTTTACTACTTCTACCACTATGGGGTTTGAATGAACAACTGTATCTCTGTGCTAATGTGGTATGACAGCTTGAAGTTCTATGTTGTTGCTGACTGACTGAAGATAAAGATTAACAAAACTATGTGATTTATCAACGAAATACATTTCAAACAATCTAATTACATATACACTTATTAAGAATATTCATATATGAAAAGAAAATCCAAGGTTAATTAGATAGATGGGAGATAAGCGGAAACAAAGATAATGATCAAGAATAATAGTATGAAAAACAACGTGGAACTCATCACCCTGAATAATAAACTAATATTACCAAATTAGAGTAGATTAGGGGTGAAAACAAGCTGTTTTTGCATAAAGGGACTTCAATAAACTTTAATACAATACCACAAAAGTCAAGTTAAGATCAATCTTCTGTCCTGTTTCAATGATGTATATGGTAATAGAGGATGATGGAAATTTATCGTCTATTTAAACCTAGTTGAACTGCTAAACACGAATTTAATTATCTGGAGCTTTAATGTAATTAAATATCTTCACTCATATAGTGTACCTGAAATTCATAAAACTAAACATGGAGAGAAGGCTCAAATCAATTGTTATGAAAATTAAGACCTTATTTATGCAAAAACAGCTTGTTTTCAATCATAACCTATTCTAATATGGTTATATTAGTTTATTATTCAGGATGATGAATTCCGTATTTTTTTTCCTTGATCATCATCTTTGTTTCCACTTACCTTCCATTTATCTAGTTGACCTTGGATCTTTTTTTCATATATGAATATTCTTAATAAGTGTATATGTAATTAAATTGTTTGAAATGTCAGTCAGCTACAATGTAGGACCAGGCACATATATGCATCGGTCCAAGTTGCCATACCTCATTAACACAACAAGATGGACACCGAATTCATAAAAGTAGTTAATGCAGAGGTGGTAATATATAAACAAAAGATTGAATATAAGGATGTAGTACAGGAATAAAGAATTAGTTTGTAGAAATAAAGATATCAAACGATCTTAATCTCATAGTTTAAGGGAAGACAGAGAGTGTATACACCGACGCCATTGTGATGGATTCTGAGTCACGTCACCGAGAGTCTCCAACCATTGGTTACGATAGTCACGCGGACCCCAACCAAGTAGTCCGTTGTTGCTACCTTGACGTGGTGGTCGGACTTGCCTATCGTGATGAACCAACCGAGCTATACTGGCTGGAACAACCGTTCCTCAAGGTCCTACCATGTCAGACAGGCCGGTTGAAGAGCGGTAAGACTAAAAGCAACAAACCCAAGGTCCGAAGGCGAAGTCGTAGTGCGGACTGTACAGAGGTGTGACAGCAGTAAGGTGTTTTCTGCAGACAACCAGCATGACAACGATGCTGCCTTCCCACAAGGAGGGGTGGGGTTGGAAAAGCTCGACCCTAAAAATGCACACCTCGCCTTATCCCACGGATATCCGTCTCCGGCGGTAAGGTCTCAACAAGTACGGGGCTAACACAAAAATTACTCATAAAAAGGTCGTGCGTGACCGACCTCAAGCAGTTGTCCCTTGGGCACTGCGGTCACACTCTCAGGTCACTAAGACCACCTCTAATCCAACTTCCTTTTCAGGTACCTCCAGGAGAACCTTTCCACGGTGTGGGCGACCGGGAAGTGATAACCGCCCTCATACCTCTAACAGCACTTAAGACCACTGTTTGAAATGTATTGCGTTGATGTATTACATAATTCTGATGTTTCATCTTATTATTATACTATCTGAACTTATAAATTCTGTTGATTGCGATAATATAAGATTATCTCTAATTGATTCCCTGAATTGATTTATCGTTATACCGGGAACATCTTCAACAAGTCAACATTAACGACTGCTATTTTGTGTGAATTATAGGAAAATACAACTTGACAACCCAAATGATGCAAAAAAAAACAACAACAACAAAGGATACGGATTTGTAAATGTCTGTTTCAAGTTGACTTTTTCATTGCAATACGGACAAGTATCTTTCTTTCCAATAATGCACCAACCTCGAATACAAAAGTCATGAAAGCTATAATACGTAAACCAATAATAAGGAGTCAAGCAATGTTATATATATTTGATTATATATTGTTTTAAAGGGATGATGCTGTATTTAAAAGAAAAAGAACCATTCCATGGTGATAAAATGTTACTATTAGCAGATGAACCTATATAAACAGAGATAATTACAAACAATTTACAACAAATTACACTAATAGAACAATTTGACAGTCTATTGAAAAACCAATTGAGAAAAAAAAGAATTACGATCGATTCGTATCGATTTTCACATTAAAAAAGAGAAACTATATAACTAGTTCATACTGATAAAATGCAGAGTCTTTTGGTAGCACTGAGCAACAATGCCAGGATGTTTGGGATGCGCTTTTCCCTCTCTAAATGCAAGTTGTTGCTTTAGGACTGGTCTGCGTCAACATCTGAACTAAGGATAGGGAGTAACGTAGTCGAACTCGTTGACAACTTCACTTATCTTGGAAATCTGATCAGTCCTAATGAGTTGGTGTCTGACGAAATCTATGCACGGATCCGAAAGGCTCGTCTGGTTTTTGCCAACTTACGTCACCTTTGGCGAAGGTGGGATATCCGTCTATCAATAAAAGGACGAGTATACTGCGCAGCAGTTCGTTCGGTTCTACTTTACGACTGCAAAACGAGGTCATTATAATAGTAGGAGATACTTGAAGCTACCAGTATTTGACTACAAATATCTTAAAAATATTCCTGGCATCTGCTGGGATCACCAGGTAAGTAATAGCAAGGTTAGACGCAAAGTATTAGGGAATGATGGTAAGTCAGTTGATGAGGTTCTGAATCTTCATCAACTGTGATGGTTGGGCCACGTGTTACGTATTCCTGAACACCGATTACCACGACGTGCAATGCTAACCGGTGTTGGAGATGGTTGGAAGAAAGTAAGGGGCGGCCAAACCAAAACGTGGCATCAGTGCTTGAAATCAATAACTTCTAGTCTGAGCCATGTTGGTAGATGCAGACTACTCGGTTGGGGTCTGTACGACTATCGTAGCCAATGGTTGCAGACTCTTGGTGACATGACTCAGAATCGATCACAATGGCGTCGGTGTATGCACTCTCTGTCTTCCTTTAAACTATGAGATTAAGATCGTTTGATATCTTTCTTTCTACGAACTGATTCTTTATTCCTATACTATATCCTTATATGCAATCTTTAATTTAGATATTGCTACCATTGAATGAACTACTTCTATGAATCCGGCGTTCATCTTGCTGTGCTAGTCAGGTATGGCAACTTGTACAGATGCATATATGTGCCTGGTCCTACGTTGTAGCTGATTGATACCCATGATTCATATATATTACAATCATGTAAGACAAAATCTATGAGTTAGGTAGCAATTTCAAAAATTCTCAGCTATTATTATGCGCACATTATATAATCTATGTCGAATCAGAAAAACTAACTGCATATAATGAATAGAACAGTCATAATATTGTGCTGATTTTATTTAGCATCAGCAAACTTAGGTAAACAATACAAACAAAAACAACAGAGTCAAAATCAATTCATCTATCTAAGGAATACGTTCAAATAAGTGAATATCGGAAACAACGGAACATAAAACCAAACAATCCTTTGTTTTACGAAAACAAGGTTGTATCCGCGCATCAAATATTCTAAGAAAGTGTATAACATTTACATCAGAGCTACACATGCCTATGCATGATAAGCGGCTCCAATAGTATTCGTTCCTGTTAACTTATGACTCAGATAGTGGGAATCTGTAATACAAACGTCTAAGGTCAAAATGATCATGGTGCAAACTGTTTCGCATACTTGGTGAAATGAGATTTACTAATAATACTAGTAGTGATTGGATTTATTAATCCTTTTTTATTACGGATTCTTTATATTCTATATCGAAATACAATCGCTCACAATGTCCACATTGTCGTATTAGATTGAGAAGTGGATGTAGTTCGTTTTTCATTTTTGACACTGTTAATTTTTATAAGATTTATGATTTTAGTGAATTTATGGCACCTATACAGCCTATGCACTCATTGACCGATATTGTTGCTCACTAACAATAATAATAAGTGGTGACCAATGGAGTCTAATCCGTGTCAGATGAAGACAGTTATCAACCTCAAGATAATGGATAAATGGTTGCGCAAGATCATACATTGATCAAAGTTAGACATCAACACCGTTGGGTGCCGGCTCAGTAGTCTAGAGATTAAGCGTTCGTACGCGAGACCGAAGGTCCTGGGTTTGAGTCCCTCTGGTGCGGGATCGTGGACGAGCAATTGTGGTCTAGCTTAGATTGACTCATGAATTCAACTATTAAAATAATATATTAGTTCAACTTACCGAATTTCCTAAAGTACTTCTTGTGAAAGATAAATATTGGAATGAAGATTAGCTCAAAAATATAAATAAATATTATATATATATATATATATATATGATGAAAATCTTCACAAAAAAGGATACACATGAGTACAATTGAGTCGATGGACTTTTTCACTACTATCTGCTGTTAAATCACTTTTACATATTGAACATACTGATGGATCAATTCGACGAACTGGCATACTTTGAGGAATTTGATACTTAAAAATGAATGACAAAGAATGATTAGAAGTTCTTATCTTATCAATGATACGCCAAATAAAACCATAAATACTATGAAATGTTAGCTGGTTGAAAACAATATCAACATTCAAATTACATAGACAAAGGAATATGTAAATTAGCATTAATATTGATTGGATAGATAGAACTCTGTTAAGTGCATATTAATGCTCCTTATTAAGGCTAAGTATTTAGAGAAAACCAAAATCTGCCAGGTTACTAATAATGAAGTTATGAATAAATCATAATGAATTGTACACAAGGTAAGTGCACTGTTTCTATCAATGGAATCGAATGACTAATCACACTTTAACTTCTACAGTAATCACAGAAGCATTAACACAATGAGGACGAGAGTAATGACAGCACTTGAATTGTATTCCGGTCACTAATCCTAAAAAACCAAGCAGACAATACAACCATATAATTAAGTACCGATCTCCATTGCTGACAGTCCCAGTTTATAAGAAAGGAAAAAACTCTTTTGTGACAATTAGAGAGGATAATAATGATAATGATAATACGTCTAGCCAGACTGCTCTACTCACGTAACTGAGAAGCAATGTGCAAGTTTTGACGTTTTTTGTAGGGTTGGTGATGTTCCATAACATCATCCAGAAAGTTACAACAACACAGATATATTCATTCTTCACCTTTCTCCAGATCATGAGTTTCAGTATTATTATACATACACCTTTTTATATTATTTTTGGGTCTCGAATCCTCAAACTCCAATTTATTCACTAGAATGGTTGACACATTACTTAGATTTTTTGCTATTTATCTCGTGTTAATGAGGTATAGCAACTTCGGGCGACCCACGTTTGTGTCAGGCCTTATGCTGATGATTTCTGTGTGTCCCATAACCAAGTTTTTAAAAATACATTACGTAACTTACTGATATTTGTGCAGCCAGTTTATTTGTGCAAACTTCAGCAAAATCTCGTGCAATAACTCCATAATAAAGACCGTAAAACAATGCCAATAAAGATAAATCCACTGAAACCTTTGTAGGCAGAAGGAATAGCAGATTGACTTGGAAAAATGTTAACACTAAAAGAACATAGCCACCAACTCCAAGTATATAGGAAACTGTATGAACGAATAAGAACCACCGGTAAACTCGTCTATAAGATAAAACAACACAGACAACCTTTTGTAAGAAATGATACCACTTGTATTTCCTATATTCGAGCAATTTAGATATATAGTAGTGATATTATCCAAGGTTGCCAATTATCGACTTACATCCACTTTATTTAGATGCGCATAGCAGTCGAGCTATGGATATTATCAATGATTGTTTAGAATCTGATTTAGATTTGAATTTACGATGCCCATTAGATCCATCAGAGGTTATAAAATGCTTAGAATTATGTTTAAGATCTACCTTATTCATATTTCGAGGTCAACTTTACAGACAGAAAGAGGGTATAGCAATGGGCTCACCAGTTTCTCCGATTGTAGCGAATTTATTCATGCATTCCCTAGAAACTAGTGCAATCGCAAAGAGTTTATGTCCACCAAAGTTATGGTTAAGGTATGTAGACGATATTTTTATTATCAATAAACGGGATGGTATGGAAGAACTATTTAACAATGCAAACAGCATTTCTGAAAACATTAAACCAACTAAGGAATTAGAATCAGTTGACCACAAACTAGCATTTCTAGATTGTCTGGTTGAACGTCGACACAATAATAAGAAGTTAAAAATAAATGTTTACAGAAAATCAACGCATTCCGAGAGATACTTGGATTTTAATTCAGCCCATTCACAGAGCACGAAAATTAATGTAGTGAAAAATCTAATGAACAGAAGTACTAAGATTGTTACAGACAAGGAAGACCAAAGAACCGAATTAAATAAAGTATTATCTACTCTTAGGGATAACAACTACCCAAAAAGGTTTTTAAAGAAGATTATTAAAAATGAAAGAAAAACTAAACTAGAAAGTATACGAAAAGAATGGAAGTACACCGTAGTCATACCTTACCGGAGTGAAACATCAGAAGAAATCAAACGGATTCTAAACAAACATGATATAAGAGTGTATTTTAGAGCAAATAACACATTAAGATCGACATTATTTATTTATTTATTATTTATTTTAACACATAGACATTGGTACAAGGAGGCACCAAATACATATGCGCCACACAAATCTCATTCGATATGTGTGAGGGCTGTGATACTGCCCGGGTGCCCAAACCGAAGCAGGTGAGATCGACATTGGTGAAAGTTAAGGACAAGTTAGCAAAGGAAGAACAACAGAACATTGTGTATGAGATTCACTGTCATGACTGTAATGCTACCTATGTTGGAGAAACATCCAGGCAATTAAATGTAAGATTGAAGGAACACAAACAATGCTTGAAAAATGTTCCAAAATCCTCGGTAGATTTAAAGAAACTAGAGAATAAGTCAGCGATAGCGTTACATGCGTTAGAAACAGGACACAAGATTAATTTTGAAGGGACCAAAATACTTCAGAAAGGTTTTAACACCCATAAAGAAAGATTGACAGCAGAAGCTCTGCATATATGGGCGAACAAGAACAGCCTGAACCGAAAAGATGGTATTCAAATGGCAACTACCTGGCAAATTTCGTTTAACAAGTAAATTTGGAACCTATCTCTTGTTTAAACCTGTTTTTAATATCACATGCATCGTTATTATTATTGAAAGAACTGAATGCGTTTCTAAACAATACAATTTATGTTTTGACATGCACATCGATCTTTCATTATCAAGTTTTTTCATCCTTGAACTTGAACTTTATTTATTCCTTCATATCAATCTCTCACACATACACACACACTCACACACATACGATTTGTTACTCAGTTAAGTATTTCCATGTAGTTGAATTCATCACATGATTTGTAGTCAACTGACTCATTTTATCCTATTTTACAAAAAATCAACACCCAAATACGATTGGTTTAACACAGTATAATCCTGACTGTTAAAAGCTATATATTTCTTTGATAATTTTGATTTTGATTATTACCCTGAAGAAGTCCAGACAAGTTAGCTGGACGAAACGTTGGAATTAGTTAAATTTCAATCGCTGAGAATATTTCAAATATAATTTTCACATATAATGACTTCTCTATACTCGGCGCTCAATTACTGTCAAACTATTCGTTCTAATCTTGACGAATATTCGTATATATAAATATTGTGGATTTTACTTCCATTCAATCGTATTCTGACTTAGGGACTTGTTGAGTGAAGTAGTGTCCAAGAATACTAAGCAATGAGTAGCTGGGTCGTAAAAAAAGAATTTATGACACTTTATCAGAATTATAACTATTATGTAGGTTTTATAATTTACACACCTATATAATGAAATTATTATGTGTCGAAACGACCGTACAAGAACCTAACTCGTTCCTGTCTGATCCTTACTTTGCAGTCAGTGATAGTAAAAATATACAGCTTAGGACAAATACGGACTGCTTGGATTTGCTATTTTGAAGCCCGATTTTTATTCATTCCTCATCTAGTTAAAACCCAAGTTTAATTCAGTTAATACAAGTAGATAGGTTAGTTTGATCTAATTTAGACGCTTCATGTTTGACGTTAAAACACCTAATCATTAGATAATGGTTAAATTTTTGACTTCTCCAATAAAAAAGTCGGTAGGTCGCTATTTTATTTATTTGAACACATAAATATTGGTACAAGAGGGCACCAAATGTATATGCGCCACACAAAACAATGAGAATTTGGAGAGAAGGAAAAGAGGTGAGGAGGGTTAAAAGAAGAATAACAACGAGAAGAATAAGGTAAGGTAGCGTAATAATGGGGGAAACGAAAAGATACGACCAGAAGAAATCTTTCAGTTAAGGAAGAAGCAACCACTTTTTATGAAGAAAGTAGAAGGTTAGAGCGGGATCGCCATTGGCTTCTATTCTGAGCCATATCTGATAACGTCTCTAGCCACTGTGTTGCACCATCTCTCGGACCCCAGCCAGGCAGTCGTGAAGGACCAACACAAGCCAACCCTTTGCAGATTTCTTTCATACCACGACACCATGTCATGCACTGACCCCATGTCATACACAAAAAATAATGAACTGTCTATTTATGGTAGGTCGCTAGCCGTGTACATCTCTAGAGACTGATTGTGAGTCATCATATTAGGTGTATTTAAATACATAAACATTGGTACAGAAAGGCAACATATATATATGCTACACAAATCAATCGATGTGTGAGGGCTGGAATACTGTTTGAGTACTCAAACCGAAGTAGGTAGTTTCCTTAGTGCAGCACTCCACGAGCATCTGACCTAGAGTTCTAATGCGTAGGGTGGTGAAGCAACGTCAGGAGATGCAGTCCCATGGTAGCCGGTCACCAACAATTGTTTCACACGCCACTTGCTCCCTCAAAGTTCTGGAACCCACATGCACTGCTATTTCGGAGTCAGGGCTCTTCAACTCCCCTAGGTCGACTCTTCATATCCACCAACCCGGTTAAACCGCGATATTCGCTTTTCGTCCTTTGAATTTCGTAAACAAAACCCCGCCACGAGGTAATGAATAGGACTTCTCTGGCAGTTGACGTATATGCGCGGCCATGTGAGCGGATTTTCCCCACTAGAGGATTTGAGGAGCTGGATTGATGGTAGTTAGTGGTGGAACCCAGGACGTGAGTTTCGTCCTATTTGGGACTCATCAGGTGGACGTGCCTGCATCCCCGAGTTGATGTTCGTTTGGGGAATCGGACCCCGTCCCGTCCGCTTTAGTCTATTTTTAAAAACCCAAATAAAAATTTCATCAATTACAGTACCACCCACTACAGTATCACAAAGAAAATAATGCACAATAGCAATGAAAAGACACGCAAGTGGATCATAAGTTGCAGTTGTTCGGACCGAAGCTGCTACCTTGACGCGGTGGTTGGGCTTGACTATCGTGATGATCCAACCGGGCTATATTGGCTGGAACATATGTTCCTGTAGGTTCTACCATGCCAGGCAGGTCGATTGGAGAACGGTAAGACTAAAAGCAGCAACTCAAGGTCTGAGGGCGAAGTCGTACTGCTGACTGTAGAGGGGTATGACACCAGTAAGGTGTTTCCCTCGGACAACCAGCATCTACAGCGATGCTGCCTTTCCACAAGGAAGGAAGGGTTAGAAAAGGTCGACCCTAAAAATGTCACACCTCACCTTACCTCACAAATTTCCATCTCCGGCGGTAAGATTCTTTGAAGAACGGAGCTAACACGTCAAAAACCTCCCACAAAAAGGCCGTGCGCGACCGGCTTCAAGCAGTCGTCCCCTGGGCTCTGCGGTCACACTCCCAGGCCGTTAAGGCCGACATTAATCCGAATTCCTTTTCAGGTTCCTCAAGAAATACCCTTCCACGGTGTGGGCAGCCGGGAAGTGACACCAGCCCTCATACCCGTAACAGCACACGAGACCAAGTTGGTCACATCCATATCCTACCCACTGGTCGGTCCCAAACAACGCAGAACCCGGCATAAATGTGAGTTACTCCAATACTAAATTGGTGAGATGAGGTGAAATTGACGGAATGATTAGTAAAATCCTCAAAATAACAGTATCAACGATATTGAGAAAGGCAGCCTTGGACAATACGGTATAGACTGAAGGGATGAATTAGAGGAAAGTTTTAAGTGATACTGAAACAAAAGACTAAAATGGTGGATGGGGACGATTAAGAGCATTGACTGGGGATGACACAAAGCGATTACCCAACCCCAGTCCAAAAATCTGGAACAATGGAAAAAAACTTAAAAAACTATTCGAATGGCTTTTAGCAAATCTTTGACTACCTACTATTTCCTTCCAAACTGAATAGAAACTCGACACAAGACCACCAACTATTAACCAGGCTGGAGATTTGACCTGAGGCTACAGGGATAAGTAGAACTTGATAGGTAAACTCCAGAGGTTTTCGAGGACGTCGGCCCATTTTTGCAGCAGTCAGACTGCCTGAGATACTAGCTAGAGTTTGAAAATCGGACATCAGGCAGTCAAACGCAAAGTAGAGTCTGATACATACACACATCGGTCACCATAACCCAAGAGCACAGAGACGAGATTTTTAGTCAGCAACATTACTAGTAGTACTAGAAAGGACTGTGCATTAAGGATACGACTCGAGATAGCGTAAGCCAATGAAAAAAGATAGGAAATTAAGTGACTTAGGACCTAAGGAAAGACAGAATGGATGGCCTAGATATCTAGGTCATTGTAAGCGATTTCGAGCCATATCATTCAGAATGCTTCGTGTTTCTTAATGAACTACAAATAACCCGACCAAGTCCCTAAAAACATTACCAAATATGAGTGAATATGAATAAACTATCAGGTTAACTACACCACAAAAGGTAGGAAAAAACAATTGTTTAATATTGCTATTACCTTGGTGTAGTTGTACTTATGCGTCTCTTAGAGGCTAAGTAAACCATAACTCCAGTGGTTAATGAAAACAAAACCCAGACAAAAATGAATCTTGGGAACTCTGCTAGCACGCTGTATATAAACGGTACCAACCACATAGCAATCAAAGTTACAAGCTGGTACGAGCGGAAGTGTCGCTTTTTCCAAAACATAAGCACTAATTGGCAGAAAAGCAAACTAACAAATGCAACCAAAAACATCTCGAGGTGCATTTTTTCATGACCCTTGTGATCTTCATGGTACTTCAAGTGTTCTATCCTAAAAATCTTAAGTAACTTGTAGAACAGAAGACAAACCGAAATTTCTCTTCAGCAGAAAGTTCCGATAAATGATATGTCTAAGAGATTATCATTATTTTGAAATAAGTGATATCCATACAACATTATTGAGCACAACCACATCAGGATTACCTCCCATCCAAACGGATTCAATTAATTGGGCTACATATGAAGGTTGAAGGTTTTACTACATCTTTTGACACAGCTTAAGTTTCTAGGGCATAACTCAGCATTTAATATGAACTTTCCGATAAAAAATGTAAGAGAACAGATGGTGTTTACTATTTTCTTCTTGTCTTCAATACCCAATGTGTTTATGGCTAGCTTGTGTTAACCAATAGTTTTCTTCGAGCTCACTTCAAATTTTTTCTGAACGATTCCAGGTCTCTATTTTGGTCCGATGAGGGTAATTTAGCTGTCTGAACCCACAAACACTAGTCACTCAAATAGTTACTTGTGGGTTCATGCATTCTGTAATCTGAGTGGGTGAGTTTGTCTCATGGTGGTTATTGTTTCTATGGCCGGTAATGATCACATCAGCAAGTAGGTGGTTGGTTGGTTGCAATATGGAGGATCAAAAGGGATAATTAGAATCCAGATAATAACGACATAATTTGTCAATGAAACCTGCACCTGGCATCAAGACTCCGATAATTGGTCCAGATAGTTGTGGATGGAATAAAAGAAGCTTTCCCTTAACTAGCATCTGTGTCTAATAGCAATACCTATCAGTATAAGTTTGTGAGGATTAATGAGTTTAAATTAACATTGCGAATGGATCGATGTCAGGTCATCATTCAAAACCTGCAATTACTGGACGGCCGTTTCGTCCACCGGTCACTGCTTCCCACTAGAACTCCAGGAAATCTACCCTGAGGCTAGTCACTAGTGAACACATGATAATTATCATTACAGGGTTGTGTCTGTTGTGAGGCAGTCACTCACTGAAGATTATGGTGGACGGTTGTGCAATATAGTGGATTGGTGGAATGTGGACATTAACACCGTCGGATGCCTGTTCAATGGTTTACATGTTAAGCGTTCTCCTGCGAAATCAAAGACCCTGGGTTCGAGTCCCACGTGTGCGATTGTGGGTGCGCACTGCTGAGAAGTCCTATGCCAGGAAGAAATGGCCATCTAGTACTTCGAGACTTTTAGTGGTGGTCTAGCATTGATCCACTCAAAATATCAATATAATAGCATTAGGTCGTTATTTCACCTATGTAGAAAAGTAAGTATGTGATACAAACAGAAGTATTGGCAAACTAGTATGAAATAGTGTCTCAAGTTATTACAAGTGTGCAAAGTTTCTTCTTGAGGCATTCCAGTGAATCTGTTTGCTTCTCGTCATTTGGCAATGTCTTTCATGACTCGACTATTTGTAACAAATAAAAAATGTATCTACAGTCTAGTTGACTGAGTAGTTCCCCCTAAGTTTCTATTGTTTTTCTTCAAGTCCATGTTGGCAATGAACGTAAGTAAGTGTTTCAGATGATGTCAAAGGGTGTTCAGGATTCCGAAAGCCTTTAGAAAATGGCCTTCGAGTTCCCTATATTCTAAAACATAAAGATTCGGAGATTTCAGGAGCTACGCGGAATGCGTGAGTTTCACCTCACAGTTCGACTGTGGATACGCTCCAGAATATTGTTGCACCATGTTATCAAACTCCGAGTGGGGTCGAATAAAACCTTCGAACCAAGTAGATGGTTTTCACCATAGGTCAAGGATGCGCTCCACAGTTACTTAAGAGAGCTCTGCTCTAAAAGTATTTTTGTCACTGCTATCGGGAGAAGGACACTACCCAATTGTCCGTACAGTTCGTGATATGCTGCAGATGAAGCACATTGCACGTTTAAGTGTTTTTAGCTGGACACTAAAATCCGTGTATGATTAATTCTATTGGAAACTTTTGACAAGATGACTAATACCACATTCACCTTTCCCTTAAAATGGAGATTTACAATGTATCTGTCAACCGTAGCCAGCAGACTGATTAGGTAGAAATGTCGCTTTCTGAAGCCATGTTGTTTAGGTTAAAAGGAGTTTGCATGTAATAAACAGTCACGTAGGCCAATGTAAACTAGAGGTTCCACAACCTGCTAAGGTTTTAATTAAAAAATAATTGACCGATAGTCGTAGAGATTGTCGCTTTGATCTCCTCTGATGGTCAGAGTGAGTTTGACCATTTTACAGTTGTCAGGATCGACGCCTTGGTGAATATGATAACAGTAAACTAATAGATGTTTCAGTGATTGTTTCTGTTTCTCCAAATACAACAGACTGCTTCGTGTCTGGGCTGAGACGTTTTCACTTACTTAAACATTGCATTTTCCAGAAAGATAGCACTATGCTTAGGTCCGGGTGTTTTGTTGCTGGTTGAGCTTCAGGTTGAGCTCCCGTCAATGTGGTCTGTAGACGACACCCAGAATGTTTAAAAATGATGTTTTGCTGTGAGATTTGTGGTATTGTTGTAAATGAAAACACAAGCGATAATAACCAAATGTATTTGAATACAAAATTGCAGAATATCTTGATAAAATCTGGGAACCATACGGTAATACTTCATCTGTAAAATATCCATCAATTGTCTTGGACTTTGTTGTTCTTTTGTTTCCTTACACTCTACTTTCGATTTCTGATACATATTAATTATATCTGTTACATCAGTAGCACACACCACAGTATCCCTATCTTTGTCGCTTAGGTTACTGAGACCTAAAGCCTGGGAAACTTCATTTTGGTATGTCAAAAAGAAGAACGATGGCGGAATAACCTTTTCCTGTTGGTGAACAAACTATCAATAGTATGTGACGAGTACTGGTATCTGTCTTCACCTATTCCGGTTTATACGTTGTTGTGAAATCACATATCCGAGATTCTCCTTCCAGTCATTGATTCAAAATCTGAGTGTTTCAGTTATTCTTACCGCATGAACCTTATTTATGTCAAATAGTCCATGTAACTAGTCTATTTTATCTGGAAACTTGAGAGATCGTGACCCTATATTTCGTATCGGTTTTAATTTGGAAAGGGCTGTAGGATGAGTGATGTGATTCACTCAGTCATTTTAGTGTCTCGTCGAATCTGTTGGCAACTGGAACTTTATGAGTGCATTGGAATAAAGGTTTTTTGATGATTTAATGGGAATGACAGTAGTCAATTGAAAAGCAATTGGTTCTGAAACTGCGAACACTTTTGATATATCGCTGTAACTTCTCGATTCAAAAGACAAGGAAGATGAAGGTGTGGAAGTGTTTTTAATTAATTTAGAGATTTTAACCAAGTCACCCTAGCCCTGTATTGCAAGCGAAATAAGTTTAGTTTGAATAGTTTCTCATCTCATTACACCATATCACTTGCTCGTAATTTACTAGCGTAGGCCAAGCGAACACTATATAAAAATTAAAACGTATCTCTGTGCAATGGCCAGAGGTTTCCAATACTTTGATCTGTTATTTCACGCCAATTGTTTTTAGTCCTTAGCTGACTGACCCCTATATCAGTAATTCTGAACAACTGGTAGCCAAAAATGTTCACGAAGTAACGATACGCTGGTGGTTAAAATATATGATGGTTCACTCGGAGGCGATTGCCAGCAGATACTGAACTCCAGACTATTTATAAAAGTGCTGTAGGTAGTCCCGAAGCTCGAAACTTGCCCGCTCATTTCAAAGCACTCAACATATATTAGGGTTATCAGCATAAAACATGGAGTCAAGAAATACCATTCGCGTACATGCAGAACTAAATGGGTTACGAAAATGTACTGTGTCACTCCGCTAAACACAGATTTCCAGCTGAATGACCTGGAGTTCACCTGTACTCTTTATCGAGCTGTGACTAGGAAACCGAAGCTGTCTATTATAACGACACCGCTTAACACAACAGCATCCTGCAGTATGTGACTTTGTAAAACGTCTGGTTGGAGTCAGTAAAGACCACGACTTTAGGTGGCTTTAGACCTCTAAAAACAAGACAGATCGTTTACGCTACCAATAAGTTAATAAGACACGAGTAACCTGTTTCGAAGCCTTACTGCTTTTCGGAGAGGATCATATTTTCTTCTTAATGCTTGAATAACTCCATGCAAATCTTCATTTCTAAAATTCTAATAACTGCGCTGTTTAAACTTATGGAACAATAGTTTTCACGGTTATATACTATACCAACGACGTCTTCCCTATCGCTAAGTAATATACCCTAGGTTTCTGACACAGAACGAAATACTTAGAGAACTTGTGTTGGAGAAGATTTCCTCTTTGCATCCATTCGGACTCACTGATTTTTATCAATCGCGTTTATCAAACAGATCAAACGCATCAAATTTTTTAGTTGCCAAATGTTCAAATTATTAGCATGAGGGTCAGCGTTTCTACCGTATGTGCACTGCTAAAGTAATATGAGAATGCCTGCACTCTATGTTACTTTTATTGCGTCACACTAGCGATCTCGTGCTGCCACTTCTTCCCAACAAATCACAGTGTACAACGCTTCATACCAAAACTGTCTAGGTATTTGTGTCATCTGCATATTTTACTTGCATTTCTACATTTATATTTTACAACCTTTGTATTCAGAATGATGTCTTTGGATTCAACGGTATTACGTTGGCGCTTCACCAATGGGGTATAGAGGGTGCCCAGGAATTCTAGAAATTTCTAATTCATTGTTACATGCATACACCGCTCTGGCTCATTCTGATAAACTTGTAATTTATGACTCAAACACTAGGAAAACCGAGTTCCTATTCCTGTAGCAAACTTTATTAACAACTTGCAAGTAATCAATTCAACTATATTGTCCTGTTAATAATCATAGCTCATTTCACAACCAATCTTCAAGTTTCGGGTTTCTGGAACACAGTTTCCAAAACACCTAGGCAAACAGTTGAAAACTGAGTGTTCAAGGACGAGAATCTTAGCAACTGGGTTCAAAGCTTGGATAATACGAATATATACATACCCAGTGAAAATAATGATGTTTGATACAACAGTTAATAATCATGCTGAGTTGGTGAAATGTCACTGTCTCCTGGTCAAACTATCCGACTGCCAAGCCACCGAACATCAAACGCCTTACCGACCCTCATCGAAGTAAAAACCAACCAGGACACCCTTGTCAATTCCACGCTGTGGACAG